CACCTATCCCGGGACCGGCACCTATCCCGGAACCGGCACTTATCGCTGAAACGGCGCCTATCCCGGAACCGGCACCTATCGCTGAAACGGCGCCTGTCCCGGAAACGGCAGGAGTCCCGGAAACGGCAGGAGTCCCGGAAACGGCAGGAGTGCCGGAAACGGCACCTATCACTGAAGCGGCGCTTGTTCCAGAAACGTCATCTGTGCTGGAAACGGAACCTGCTGCGGAAGGGGCACCTGTGACAGAAACCGCGGCTGTCCAGACTACGACCTCTATCCCGAAAACAGCGGCCATCCCAGAATCAGCATCTGCGCCGGAAGCTGCACTTGGGACTGAAGCGGCAGAGGTCCTGGACGTGGTGCCTGCCCCTACGGTCATCCCCTTCTTTTCTGATCCAGCAGAGGAAGTCACACCAGCTGTTGCTCCCTCGCCAGAGCGATCGCAAAATCTTCAGGGCGCGCCATTAGCAGCGCCTCGTCGCGTGGGCCCAGCGCCTGATGCTTCAGACGCTGCACCCCCAACCTCTGGGCCAGCAGGCAACGCCACGGCAACCGGTTTTTGCCCTGCTGGGGTGACATGTGAGGTGCGGCCAGTCCTTTGGGGAACCAAGTCAATTATTTGCCATGATTATTTGTGTAGACGCACAATGTGCACATGGAGTTGCGCAGTCGCCCCGCGGGATGGTGAAAGATTCTTTGATTGAAACGAACTGTTGATGCAAGATAGCGCTCCATTTGCCAGGATAATAATGTTGCCATCAATTGAGGCGCGCAACTCGACTGAAGGAGAACCTTTTAGAGGGAACTTTGGCGTTGACGAAACGCAGGTTTGAAGCAGGAAAATGCTACCTTGCAGCTCGCTTCATTGCAAGTGTGTCCATGCACAAATTCTTCTCTTTGCGTCTTGGCATTGCCCTCAGTTGCTCTGTGCCTGCGCGCCACAGGCGCAAAAATGCAGGACCGACTGCGACCGCCTGCAGACCTGTTGCGGATGCAACACGTGGTACGTGGCGAGCGGAAAATGCGTGGAAGATGGGTGGCACATCGTCCAGGGCTCGAGCAACGCGACGTGCGACTTCACGACCACGTGCCCCCCCGGGAAGGTGTGCGTCGGAATAAAGAAGCGGAACACTTTCAATGGGGTGGGTTTCGATGAAACGTGCTGTGAGTGCAAGGAGCACCTGGAAGATGGGTCATGTGCGCCAAATGGGTTTGAGTTGCTGAGAGGGCCTGGAACATGCGATTTTGAGGTCGACCCCGAGGTGCTGGAGACTTTGAACGACGCACCCGCAAACGGGACGGGGAGTTCGTGACGTGGTGGGGGGCGGCTGGGAGTCTGATGACGCAGATTGCCACGCAACGAATGTACCATTAGATCACGCGGATTACGTCGAATTGATCCAAATTTTGTAGGTAGCGAGTAAAAATTGGGGCAAAGGGCGTTGACAATTGATGCAAGTAGAAAACTGTCCACGCCAATGGGATCGCGGAAGGGGCTGAAAGTGCCGAAAAGCACGCAATTCAGGGCGCGGCCGTCGTGCATCTGAGTCTAGGGAATCCCAGAATTGGTGGGAATAAGGATTGTCATGGAGCCAGAGACAAGGGGTGGAATCCATCTGCTCTACTGCAGATGTATGCGCAGCACGGGCGCCGATAGCAGAGTAGATTTGCGGCGGCGATCAATGTGGTGGGAAGCGATCCGTAGTTGGAAGGAGCGTACCACATCTGGTGGCATCGCCGAATCGCTGTATGTGGAGACCATATGTTTGCACACATGTAGTTACATGCTTCATAAGATCGTGTTTCCGTGGATATTATGGAATAAGGACTCGAGGCCGTGTCGTGAAAGGGCGGCCACGTGGACTCAGCTTGAGCACTGCTACTGGTAGAGTTTGTAGCATCACAGAGCTTAGTCTGCGGGTGGGTGGACACGGGGTTCCGTGACGCCGAAAATTGCGAGTCGCCTGCCTTGTAAAACTGGAACATGCCTTCGCAACTCTCAGGGTAGGAGCTCACATGATGGACTGTGGACGGTGCTGGAAGTGCGTTGGATTTCAGGGGTGCAGCAGATGCATACTAGAACGCCGAAGCATTTTTTTCAATGGGATTACCCACCCTCCATTTAGATTTCGTCATGTGACAACGTGGACAGCATCAGCGCTGTAACCAATGGGAACATCTTGGAGAATGGTATGCACAAGTTTGGCTGCTCCCGTAACCTATCTAGTGCATAGGTGAAATAGCGTAGAGCATAAATTCATAAGAATTATTTCAGAAGCAACGGACAACTTCTCTGCTGTCTCTGCAAGATGCGCATGCCAGTGCTGCAAGAAAGAAATTGCCATGCAGATTTTCCTGAATAGATCTTTGAGAAAGCGCGGAATCGATCAGTTCAGCATCGCTCACACCGAGAGAATTGGGGAGTTTTCATTTGAAAGAGGCGCTCAAATTCCCCCCTGTTCTCTGCCCCTGTTTGGAAATATTCTGACAAACGAAGCGCGGTTCCCCGAGCTGTCTTGCTGGCGATCGCAGCCGCAATGCATCGAAGTGCATAGATCGTGCACCACCGTATTCTAACAAATTAGTGGTGCGGCGTGACGCGGTGCAAGTCAAGAGCTGATTTTTTCACAGATTGAGGTGATCGCGGGGATAACGAGCATTGAAAAGATCTAGACGGTATACTACTGTAAGATATCCCAGCACCCGCTTGATCTTTGACATTTGTCAATGACACCTCGGGGCATCCGTGTACACTCCTCTTGTCTCAAAGTCGAGGGAACGGTGCAAATTTGCGACGAATTTGTGTTAGATGTTAGATGTTTCGTTAGGTTTATGTTAGTTGTTACGTATTAGGATCAGTATGAGTTTGCTAAGGCCACTGGTGGCTGCAGGCGCTTCCTCGTTTTCCACACGCCATAATATTAAAAGCAGTAGACGCAGGGAGGCCTGGAACAGGCTGTACCACTGAAACAGCCAACAACTAGTCCCCAATCACATCAATAATACGGCTACGAATATTGCGCTTGCATAGCAATTTAAGTCCAGTGCGGTCAACTTCAAAAGTCTGGGAGGCTGTTCAGCCACGTGCACTGGAACACGCCACAATATGTTCAGTAAACGAAGAACAGTAATGTGATATACAAAATCAACACTGATGGATCATAGACGAAACGAGGTTCTGAGAAACAACTGACGACGCGAAGAATGATTATCAATTTTAGAGCACTGTTACAGCCCCTTGTCCACTGAGACAGCGGCGTCACTTGTGTAACTCTCTCCAGAGTTCTGAACAGCGACTTGAAGTTAGGGCCTTGACCTCTCGGCTTATTTTGATAAGCAAGGGCCTGCGATTTTAAGTTGCCCTTCTGCCTTGGGGCAGCGGTGCAGCTGTCCCCGTATTCAATGCAATACATTCGACACCCGCGTTCGCCTTCTTCCCATCAAATGGTGGTCTCAGCATAATATTTACGATCTTCTGCGGAGCGCTGAAACACCGCTCCGAGCATCAGCCAGCGACTGCCACCCAGGCGCACCGGACTGGATCCAAACGTCCACGCGGCTTTGCAATTTGCCGCCCCTTTGTCTGCCGCACACATCTGCGCGTCTCTCATCACAATCCTCCCAATCGTAATTCCACCCACGGAGACACTTGCTGCAACTGACCGCTGGTGGACATGCATGGACCTCCATCCACTGCTGAGAATGGTACATCCACGGGAACCTTCGCTCGTTGGCTCATCATCAACATCCACGGATTTCACGTTTGGCACCTCACCATCCACGTCTGCAGAAGCCACAGCTTCGGTGTGCAGCCCATTCGCATTGCATTCACTGGCCCTGGCCAGCATGCCGCCCAATGCGATGTGCGTATGTTACAATCCAAGGCGCCGACCGCAATGTAGTCGAGCTGCACGTGGGAAGCATCATCCGAAATTGTCGATGTGAAAGAAATGAGCATAAATTCGTTAATGCCGCGGCACATAGTTTCTGTTGAGTGGTGCACTAGGTTGGAGTGCGCGATGTGATTTATTTCCCTGGGAGCCTTGGAGATACTCATTTGTCAAAAGTTTGCCAATGGCCCCTCACATTTGGCAGACTACACTTAGTTCGAATTCGTATTCTACCCTGGATGATGTTCGTCTGCAATTGCTTCCACTTGCCACCCGTGCGAGACCCAGTGCCACTGAACCGTGAACTCGCACCTGCAATCTTGGCCCACCTGAAAATCCACGTCACTATGTATTTTGGTCTCGTCACGTTGAAGTACTGCCGCCCCGCTCTCGTGGCGTTTTTTGGGCGTCTCGATCGGTTATTGCAAGAAACTGCACGTGAAGTCCCCCTCAACCCCCTCTGGTGACCTCGAGTCCCTAGGGCGTTGAGTAGACATCTGTCAAAAATAGCCAAATCTCGGTTGCGTTTATCCAGCGATTCGGGCATTTTTCTGGCGTTCTACCTTTTGCATTTTTCCCTCCTTGTGCCAAGCGATGATATATGACTTCTGCTGTATGTCCGGGATTTCTGCGCTTCATACGTATCCACGTGTGGGAATTTTTCGGAATGCTCGTAACGCAGCAACGCCTTTTCTTACGCGACTTCCCTTACATCACACTTGGGCCGCCCTGGGACCTAAATCAGCGGCACTCGCGTTGCAGACATCGATTATCCTGCACAAATGTGTTGAAGTGCGGATGGCAAAGGGGATGTCTGACCGGGGATCAGGCCGGGTATCACTGGGTGGGCTGTCCCGCTGCTCTATCACACCACCTGGACCGGGGGCAGGAAGGAGGGGCAGGGGCAGGGGGCAGTCCAACCCCTCCACCCAACAAAATGCCGCTCATTAACAGTGACTCATTATGCCGTATGTCATTTAGCACGCTCCTCCCCTGCTGCTTCCTCGCACAGCGCCCCTGGCCAGGGACCGGGGCCCTTTGCAACGCCCACCCACCTCAAGCGCCTGTGCCCCCCACTCCAGCCAGCCACCTCGCTCACCGCCGACCCCCATGGAGTTCACGGTCAGCCTGCCCCAGTGGGCCGTCGACGACCTGGCGTCCCTCAAGGAGGCCACCTACCCCACGGCGGAGGACCGCATGCGGCCCGTGAACGCCTTTGCGCGCAAGAACTTCGAGCACAACACCGGCGGGCCCTTTTCCGCGGGGGTCTTCGAAAAGGACACCGGCAAGCTGATCGTGATCGGCGTCAACCGCGTGGTGCCCTCTAACTGCTCCTCCGCGCACGCCGAAGTCACGGCCCTGTCGCTGGCGCAGAATTTGCTGGGGACATGGAACCTGGGCGCATGGCCGGAGACCCTGCAACTGGTGGTCAACTGGCGGCCGTGCGCGATGTGCTACGGCGCGGTGCTGTGGTCGGGCGTGAAGAGCCTGGTGATCGGCGGCAGCGGGGGGGAGGTGGAGGAGATCACGGGATTTGACGAGGGGCCCATCCACCCGGAGTGGCAGAAGGAGCTGGAGAAGCGGGGGGTGGAGCTGACGGACGGTGTGCTCAACGAGGAGTGCGTGCAGGTGTTCAGGGACTTCATGGCGGCGGGGAGGGAGGTGTACAATCCCAACAGGGGTTGAGGCCGACGTTGCCTGGTTAGGGGTGAAAATGGAGTTCTGTGCAGTGGTATTGATGATTGCTGTCAAATGGCCATGTCCGCTGAGGGGATGCGCACAGTGTGGCGCTGGGGTTTTCTGGACGGCGGCGCTTGGCCAGAATCTGGAGACCAGGTGTGGCGGAATGGGGCGAAATTCTTTTGACACGAGAGTGATGGGGCAGGGCGGCGCGCAGGCTGCGCTCAAGGCGGCAGGATGCCTGCCTGGCGCCCAGGACAGTGGTTCCGAGGGGCTTCCGGGTGTTCTGATGGGTCCTGCGGGCAGTGAAAATGGCTTGTATTGTGTGTACCATAGCAGAAACTGTATTTTGTATGTTGTATACCACCACTGTGTGTATAAGAGAGGCGCCATCTGGCGAGTGTTCTGCGGCAGGCGGAGCCGAGCAGATTAACTTCCAACAGAAGCTGGCCATCGTTCTTTTCTCGTTTCGATTGGCATCGCCATGATATGCAGGGGCTAGGACAGGGCCAGCAGGCACCGTTTCAATGTTCCAGGAAAGCATTTTGAGAATTTGGTGTTCTTTCCATTTTGTTAACCTGGGGCAGATAATCAGTAAGTTTCTCACGTTATACACTGTCCATGGAATACTGCTGGCAATTGGAATAGGATCTGGCATCCAAGCCAATGAACAACTTTGCACTTCTGCTGCTCATGGCAACGTTGCTGAAATTAGCTCTCACCTTGTTTCTGAGGGTAAATGCCCAAACTTGTCCAGGGCACAGTTCAATACAACACTAACTCAGACAACTGGCTGATTGCATCTGCTTCAGGCTTCACCTGTGGTTCGAGTTGTTGTCATGGTCGAGTTTGTCACAGAAACCATGTTAGGTTGGTCTTTTGACACCCGCACCTGCCCATATAGTGTCCCAAGCAGATGTTCACTTGCCCATGATGCCACCCAATGCTTCATGATTTCTACCATAAAAGAATACAGCATTCTTGCAGGGCGGCAAGAAGCGAAATCATGCTCAAGAGATGGCTGGCAATTGCTTACCAAGCTCTTTGTTACAACATCTCAAGTCCAGCCCCCAGCATCTGGAATCAAGTGGCAAAGCTGAGAGAGAAGCCAAATTACAATGGGAAACAATCAGATAATGTCACAGCACAAAATCGTCACAGTCTCACACTGCCACAGTATGCCCCAACCCACCACCACCATCCCCAGCATTCAGTTTCCCCACAAGTACATTCCAACATTCCTGAGACGTTTGTTTCAACATTTCCAAGAGCTGTTGATAAACAATGGGGTGCCAATCTAGCTCCACGATGGCAAAATTATAAGTGCTTCCACCGGTAGATTCTCTGCCCACGGCAAATGTGGTGGATGTGGGAAACTGCATCAAAAATTGCTGGCAGACCAGATCTAGCTGACTCTGTTCTACGATGCAATCAGGATGTCAAAGAATGCCACCTGATGCAGTTCCCATCACACACCCAAACTCACTCACTGATCACAGCCTTCCGATGGCAGTTCCAAACTGTCCTCACACCACTTGTCCATCCACCCCAAGCTCAGCAGCACTTCCCCCCTTGCCTGCCAATCATATTTAGATAAGGGCCAAGTGTGGCATCTTACACCAAAACCAGAGCCACAACTTGGAACAATCCCATACAGCCTTCTTGGGCTCCCCACGGCAGGAACAAACCCTTGCATACGCCCTTCACACACACCAATCCTATGCGCACTCAATGCTAAACACACGCAAAATCCACGACTCATCTCCACAGCACTGTCGATTGCAGCCAAACCAACAATACACACCACAAAGACCCAGGTCTATGCCCTGTGTCGCCCATCGCTGGCAGCTGCAGCCATCAGGACTTTCCTTGCCGCGTTCCGCTCCTTTAGAAGCTTCATTTCCTTGGGAACCAGCTGACGAAGGTCATCAGCTGACATGTTGTCCTCCTCATAGTCGAATTTGAACTCCCCTGCGCAACACAAAAGTGAACTTGGACAAGCAAGCAGGCACACCACTAGCAATGTTCCACCAAATACCCAAACAAAAATATGACATGCGGCGTTGAAACAGGTGTGACAACCATTTTCAGGAGACACTTGGCCAACAAAAGGAGCTGTCGTCGTGTGCAATTCATTGAGGCTGGACAGGGATCCATTCTGTGCCACATTCAACACAGAGTTGGATTTTACTACAGATGCTTGCTGCGCAAGTCCACCCAACAATGCCATACTCGGAGCTGAAGGCTCTGATGCTTCATCATGATGTGCCGCCAGCCATTCATGCTCCAATGCCTCTGTCGCTGTCATTCTTGCTTCAGGATTGAACTGAAGCAGCTTCTCCAAGAAATCCATCGCAAGAGGGCTTGCTTTGGGGCACCACTCCTTCAGTGTTTTGCTGCCCTGCTCATGGCGACAGTAAGGCACTTCTTAGGGCCCAGATTATGGTTCTGTCCCATAGCTGCAGAGTTTTGCCACCCCCAAGTGCAATGCATTCTCGCAAACCTTTGCTGCATAAGCCAACAACTCATACACAGGTCAAAAATCCAACTTACCCTGACAACAAGTGATAGCTTTTCGCCCCCAAAGAGGTCAACAAGCACATCAGGACAACTCTACGCAAGCTTCGTCACTTTATTGTCAACAGCACTGCTGTAAGGGTGACCACGAAGATCAGAATTAAGACGAGGTTCACCAACAGAGCGTATTGCTGAACAAAATATTGGGCAAGCATGCTACTGTTTGCATTGCCCTTACGTACCAAACTAGATGTGCACATCTGGAAGAGTGTTGACTGCGATCAATGCAAGGTGCACATGCATATCTTCCGATGAGACACAGGAAGCATTTGGCTTGCGAACAGTGAGATTGACACACCTCTGGTATCTTCACGTTCCTGATGAAAAGCTTCAACTTCTTGTCAGTCAAAAAGCACAGATCTTGCTCAGCTGGGCGCCCCAGCGTTCGCACAATATTCTCCAACTGATCCAGGGGTGTCTTTCCTGGAAACAGAGTCTTCCGTCGGAGCATCTCGGCCAATATGCATCCAACTGACCACATGTCAATCGCTGCTGTGTAGGGGCAAGAAAGCAGCAGCTCTGGCGCACGAAACCAACGTGTGACCACATACAGGGTCATGTCCTCTCTCTTGGTGCTGAAAAAGCACAGATAGGAGCAAAGTTAGAGAGGGAGTCCAGCTGGCTGCCTATGCAACCTTCCTATGGGGCCGAAAGGTGCTTCCAACAGGTTGTACACAACCCCTCTCACTTGAAACATAGGCGACGACAAAAACAGTGACAAGTGAGCAAGATGCATGCCCTGCTAGCCATCCAACCATGAACAAGACACATCAACAAGGCGCAAATGCAGCTCCCAAATCTTCCTATGCAGCATGTTCTGAGGCAAAAATAGTGCCCTGCTCGATGTTGCTGTAGGTAGTGTGGAGAGACATTTACTTGCTGAAAAGAAAAGGTGAAAAAGAACTGGGACATTATCACTTCTGCCACACTTTCCAGGTGTTCTTGGAGCCATTTGGTGGTGACAATTGGCTGCTTCTCCTTGCGCCAAGGGAACACATTGTGCTGATGAAATGGACACATCTTGGCACATGGTCATGCAAACAACCCATGCCTCTGGCCCCCCTATTCTATGCTGTGAGCAAAATGGTGTATCATTGTGCTTCACACAATGATAGTGACAACGCACTCTATTTCAAATTCAACAGTGTTCATGAGAAAGAGTTCTTCAATCTGAGAGCCAGCTATATCCAATACAGTGCCAATACTAATGAGCATGCTGCTACATTTCCATGCTCTTTTTAATCGCATCTTCAGTCCCGCACCTTGCTCCAACAGCTCGTGCCAAGCCAAAGTCGCAAATCTTCAACTCACAGTTGGAATTGAGGAGCAAATTTGATGGTTTCAAGTCTCTGTGTATGATGTTGGCCGAGTGCAAGTATTTGAGTCCTTTGAGCACCTGCACACCCCACAGTTTATCATCAGAGCCAAAAAACATCTGGTGGCCAGCACACCCACAATTACAGCAGGATTATCTCTATATCTACACCCTCGCTCTTCTCCTCTGGAATGTAGCCCTTCGCAGGCAACTTCGCTGGTGAGCCAAGCCATCCGTGGCATCAATAGAAGGACAATCCAACAAAAGCCCATCGTGCACGATCCAGGATTCACTTTCCTCAGTCTCCTTTCTGAAGACTGGGACTTGGAGGAACGGCTTCGCCCGGGCAGCACACAGCTGCCTTCATCGGCCTGCAGACCCCGGAGCTTGGTCTGGCCACGATGGTCTGACACGCACTGCACCTGGATCTACGCGACGGCTTTGGCCTCTGGATGTGTCACACGCCCCCCCTGCCCACATCCCCCAAGCCCACCTGCCAAACGAAGTACTTCAGGTGGTCCTCTGACAGCGGCTGGGACGACCTGATGATTTGGTGCAGGTCGGTGTCCATGCACTCCTGCACCACGTACACGTCCTCGAACCGCCGCGTGTTGCCGGGCAACATGATCTCGTGGATGGCGATAACGTTCTCGTGCTCGATGTGGCGCAGCAGGTTGATCTCGCGCATCGTGCGCTTGGCCTCCACGTCGTTGCTGAACGCGCCACTGATCTTCTTGATGGCCACCTTCTCCTTCGTTTCCTGGTTCTGGGCGGAGCACACCAGGCCGTAGGCGCCCTTGCCCACGGCCTTGATGGGCACATACTTCTCGTCCACCTCGAAGTTCTTGTCCTGCCACACCACGTAGCGGCTCTTTCCCGGCACGTCGCACTCCGTCCTCACCGGCACGCTGGAAAGCCTCTGGGTCGTCGATGCCATGCCGGCGCCTCGCCGCGCGTGCGCAGGCGCAACGAGGTCGTCACCCAGCCGCCGGGCCCGAGGGAGCAGGGGGGACGGGTCTGTTCAGTCTGTGAGACTGCTGTGGCGGGACTCGTTTGGGCGGAGCATGGTAGCCCCCAACAACTTTTTGGCGCCCAAGGGTGCGCCGGTGTATTTCGGTGCCCGGGAGCGGAACTTGGAGCAGCGTGCTTTTTTTCGTAAACCCGTCCGACTCGAAAGCCCAGTTGCATGACGCCGAGCACGCGGTGAACGGAAAGGTCCCCAAAAGCTCTGAGGACTGTCCCATCCCCATGGCATGGTCGGAGTTATGCAATAGCACCCTGAGGGGCCAGCGTGCACCTGAAGGGCATAAAATTACTGGCTGCACCAAATCGGTGACTTTCTGCACTAAATCGGTGACTGGTTGCACCAACATCCTCCAAAACTTACCCAACCTAAAACCTAAGCCCTAAAACCAAAAACTAAACCTGCCCTAAACGTAAACCTTACCCTAAAACTCACCCTAAAGCAAAACCTAACCCTAAAATTGAGGTTACAACACATTGTGTGCACGTGATTTGGTGCAAGCAGTCACCGATTTGGTGCAGGCAGTAAGTAATATTATTTCCACCTGAAGCAGGTGTGGCGGTGACATGTGATGCCCATGTCCACCCCTGCGTGCCCGCATGAGAACACGACCCTCTCATGCCAGCCAACAGTTGGTGTCTAGCCAGGTTACACCGTCCTCCCAATCCTGGCATTCAAAGGACACCACAAGGAGCAGGAGACCGAGGGGAGGGGGTTTGGCCACATTCTTTTCTTAAATTTGCTTTAACAACACAAACTGGGGCCCTTGCACCTGCGTGTGGGGTCCAGGCGCTTTGCTACAAACTGCGTTGCTTGTTGCAGTATGTCATCCATGTCCACAACAAAGACTGCCAAAGGGAAGAGGAATTGCAATACTTGCAACCGTGCATGATGCACTTCTCAGGTGCGGTGCTATTTTTCTTCTCGTTCACCTCTGCAAGTCACAGAAAAACTTTGCATTAGCGCGTGCAATCAAGTTGACAAGCGTGTGATGTTCAAAAAATGTCAGCTGCTCGTTCCCGGAATGCACTTCTTGGTGGCATTTGGACATGATCATGAAGCCTGACTTCGGTGGCGTAATATTGCCATTGGCCTTGAGCAGCACTTGCGACATATCAGTTCCACGATTTCCACAACACACTTAAACTGCGTTGCACTGCCAAACTTGGGCTTCACAATTTTATTTCGTCAATGCCCATCGGCAGGCAAAAGATATGAAAATCTCTTGAAGATCTTGGACAGCAGTCTGTTGGTGAAATAGTTCCCCACAAATACAACATTTCGGCACTATGTATTGAAAAATTGTGGCCACAAGAAGAGTTAAAATTGAAGTACACCCAGAGGGCTACTTTGCGGCTCGTAATTCTCTAGGAATTAACCAATCGGCTGCACATGGGGAACCATGATTTGGGTGCGGATTCAGTACAGGCCCAGGAATACTTTCAAGGAGCAAAACTAGGAGACCATTCCATAATAAAGCGTGCCTCACAACGTCTTTTGACATGAATTGGCACTATTTCACACTTGAGATAAAAAATGGTGGACACACAAACAATAGTGGGTGCATCATTCATTACAATAGGACACCAGGATGAACATTGATTGTGCAGAATGTGACATGCCCTGAAGCTGCCGACAACCCATCAGTGTCCTTTTGAGCTATCTCACCTTCCATCTCTAGAACAAGTCGGCACCCAAAGCAAGGTCAACTGACTTGCCCATTGTCATTATCAAGCGTTGCTTGTGCATGAAAGGACAACACAGCAATTTTACAAACCATTGCTGTGGCATTCGTGCAGCTAGCTGAGGAGGCCTGTGGGACAAGGCCGCGGACCTTCAGGGCATCTTGTGACCAGCTGTCCTCACAGTGCACTTCGGCAGTGCAGAACTGCGCCAACACGAGCCTGGATCCTCCAAACAGTGAACCGCCACAACTCCTGGAGAAACTCAAAGCACATAAACAGCTACCCCAGCGTAGCACAGACCATCTCCCAGGCTCGCTCGATGCCGCATCACTCACACTGTGGCCTGTGGAATCGCCATTCAGCCGGGGCAGGCCAAAGCGCCCTTCGGCTTGTGGGTGAATGGAAATCTGGTCGAAGGTGAAGATGGAATTAACGAAGCTTTTCGCCAAAGGCAAAGCACAACGTCTAACGCCCCAGCAGGCTCTGCTCTCCCTCCCCGCCGTCCTCTTCATCCCGCCATTTCAGCAGCGTCCTACCGTAGTACAACACGCACCCCAGGATGACGTAGAAACCGGCAGCCACGTACCCAACTATGAATGTCGTCTCGAAGACGGCTGTGTCCGTGGGCGACCACTGCACGCCGGCGTCCAGCTGAAACAAGGTCACCACGTCGTTCTTGTAGCCGTGCAGCACCAGGGAGCACAGCAGCGTCACGAGCCCCAGGTTGACGCACCCGCTGGTGACGAAGCCATACCAAAACCCCGCCTTGCGCTTCTTCTTCCGCAGCGTCAGACTTCACCACAAACGTGCAAACACAACTCAGCATCCAATCAGCCCATTCAAAGGGCCGAAAAGTGCCAGGATCTGCGTCTGTGGCGACAATCAGGCAATGAACCGAAGAGCGTGGGGAACGCGGAACGACGCTTGGAAACGGCGCTTTCGGGCCCATGCGCGGCGCGGAAGGCACTCACCCCGCCAAAAGGCACAGAGAGAAGATGCTGTATATGAAGACCAGCCCTGCGCCAAAGAAGGACGCCACCAGCAGGGACCACAGGTCGCCTTCGGGCTTCTTGGTTTCGACCTCCGCGCGGTACACCTTGGAAAAGGTGGACAGGGAGAGGCCGACGTAGAGCAGGCCAACGGTGGTGGTCCAAGTCCACGATGTCCACAGCAGCGCCATCGCTGTCCGCGTTTGCGGCAAGGTCGCGCCGCCCTTGCGGCCTTCCTAGCAGGCGTCGGCGAGCCGCGGGCTGGTCGCGGGAAGCGGAGTTACTGCTTTTTGACAGGCACAGGGTGTCCGTGCTGACAAGGCCACCAGCTGATCATGGGGCATCAAGGAACTGCAGGAATATGGTGCATTGCTTTTGGGCTTGTGGATTCTCAGCGAACAATGCATGAAGACCCGTTTCCTCGGGCAAAGCAGGCGGTTGACAACTGCCTACTTGCCTTGGTATGCAGCAGTTCTCGAATGAGCGAGTGTTTACGTGTTCACGTCGCGCTACATTCTGCAGCGCTCGCACAAAGGCCCTCCCTTCCATCAAAACAAGGGCCTAGATTTGATAATGGCGAACAGCCTGACCCACAGTTGTCATTTGCGCGAGACATGTGAGCCTTATCAGCGGTCCGTTGCTGCGTTGTCTGCCACGAGCTCTCCCCCCAACTGTTGTATGTCGCAAAGACCAGGCATTTGTCAGAACGGTTTGGGAACTGCGGGGATGCGGTTTCAATCTGAAATAAATCAAGTTAGTGCCAATCGTTTGGGAGTTTCCACCCTCTTTTACGAGCCCATAGTAGTAGTTGTGGTTGAAGCCAGCTTGTGGTCAGCCAAGGAATCCATGCAGTCAAGGTGCATGAACTATTCACAGAGAGCATGGCAATTGTTCGCACTTCTCAGACGTCAGATGTATACAGGGGAAGCACAACATTGAGCTTGGTGCAGTAGCTCCATTTGTACCACATCTGTGTGTATGTTCTCTGGGACAAGTAAGCTGCCAAAAGTGAACTTTGGACTGAGAAGGCCTGTTGCTTGTGCAGTACAGCACACAGAACGAGCTCTGCATTGTTGGGGACACAAGGAGGCGTGGTGCAGATTGCCGGAGTTGACCTTTCTTGTCCCCCACACAGAAGCAGCTCTTGAAAGCTGTCTTTGCTGGGCGTCAAATGCTCTGCTGATCATCGATGAGTTGACATATTTCATTGATCTTGTGCATATATACATGTACCATAGCAATCCAGGGCAACATCAAGGGAGAACACCAGCATCCAAACTAACAACAATACAATCAGCATTTCCCGTGCCTGTATGATCATCTTGTGTCTTCTATCCTAACCTCATTTGTGTGGCCCTGCAGTATCCTGAGTCAGTGTCTTGTGCCTTCGTCCATTTGATAAGACATCGCCGCAATGAAAAGAAATCAAAACAGGCTTTCACTGTGCTATGGGCTTGCCACCATTTTGGGGCCACAGCGCAGCAAATGTATGGGTTACACCTTACAACATGTCACGTGGATTTCATCAATAATTAAGCCTGTTTGTCCCACCGACAGCAGGTGGTTCAAGAACACCACAGCAGTACTCATACATTGGGACTCTGCCACTGCCGCAATCTTCAGTGTGCACACCGACTTTTCTGCAGCAAACCTCAAATACCTTGGCATGTTCCTGTGGGGAGAACGGGATTGCTCAAAAGCAATGTGTGGATTTAACTGGGCCTGGAACAATGGACACAGAATGCAACCTCTATGCTGTCAGTGATAGCCCAGATGTGCCATCAGGGGACCCCAGGTTGAGTGCCAGATGTGGCCATTCTGAACGTGAAAATGGCCTTGTCCTTTGTTACCAAACAGGAACAGGGGTCCCCATGTTGTAAGAGGCACAGAGTCAGAGCAATCTGGTTGCCAAGCACCCAGTTGTGTGGACACTCCAACACACATTCCTTTGCCTCTATCAGTGTTTCATCAACCAGCACAAGAACAGTTGTAAACGCCAGCCAATTCAGCAACAATTGCGAAAAAGTAAAGTCACATTTCAGAAAAGAACCCAAAACTGGTGAGGAGTCACAAGAAAATCACCACCTCACTCTTGTTGGTCACTCAATCGTTCCCCACACAGCACTGTCTTTCCACTCCGATGCAACTACCTAATCATCTGCTGCCCAGCGATACGACTCTGGCATTCAGTCCACGTCCAAGCTGGAAAGGCACGGGCAGCGTGCCCATAGAACGCATTCCCACCCCAAGACGCGTGGACTTGCAGGTTAAAAGTTCCCTCAATGCTGCAGCTGTCTGCTCTAACACCCCGCTGCGCCCCCCGCATTCTGCCTTACATTCCCTCTCGCGTCCCCCTCTCGCCCCGTCGCCGTGCACTGCTATGTGGGCGCCACGACGTTTTGCGCAACCATCTGTTGCTTAAACCCCTCACAGCCATCACGAAGCTTCATTGCAGACCAAAACTGTATCTAACAAGGGCTGCGGCAATCGTCGCCGAAGCGGAACGCTGGAAGCGACGGCGCCCTCGGCCACGTTCACACGTCAGGAATGTGCGAAAAACTGACTCCCCGGTAGCCTCTGTAGGCGTAGTAAGCCACCTTCGCGAAGTAGGCACCGGGCAAAAACACCAAAACTCCGAGGACTATGAAGGCAAAGCCGTGCGCGGCATTGTGCGTGACCACGAGGTCAATGCCCCCGATGAAGCAAGCCAAGCCCACGGCGACGAGGAACAACGACTGCAGAACCTTGTAGAATGGCCGCCCTTCCCCGCTCACTTCAGGGCCGTACTCAAAAGACTCCTGGCTCCGCATACCGCGCCGTTCCTCTGTACACCGCCCTGCTGCGCTGAATCGCTGGACGCTTGCCAGTTCACATCCCTTGAGACAGCAAAACGCCAAAACGACGCGGCGTCGTGGCAAGTCGGTGCTGCGCACACCCACTATCCGTTCTTTTGTTGGTGTCCCAATTGACAGTTTGTGGCCAAATTGGATTTTAGATGAACGCAGCGAAACGCCAGAATTCAGATACACGAGAATTGAAGGCTTCCCGCGTTTGGGTCCGAGTTCCCATAGTTGTGAGAGGTACAACTGCACAACAAGTGCCAATTGTTACCGGCCTGTCTGCAAACTGAATAATTGAATAGTAGGGACGTGCGCAATTTCATTGCTGTACTGGATGCGAGTAGCAAATTGCAAATCACACTGCCTCCCGTGCTTTGAGCTGTACCTTGGTTAAGGCAACCGAACGATTTGTCAACTAGAATTGGTCTGTTGTGATTAGAAAGAGCATTATACTTCCTCTGTCCGGAATTAAATGAACGCGTTTGTTTGACAGGCCAAATTTATATCACGCACTTATCTGTTCTTCACCAAAATTTGTGAGCTTCTAGTAAACTTACATGCAATGCTTTGGCCAAAATTTGAAGACAAACCATTAAGTACTACGCAAATGGCAGTACTCTGAATCCGCAACATTGGGACGGAACGGTTGGAGAATCTCAAGGTGGGGGCTGGCGACCCCCAAAACCGACCCCCGGAGAGGGTGGATTTGCACTTGACGTTGCGCAACAAGAAATGGATAGCTGCTACCACAGTTGAAACAGCAGGTCAGAGCCGTCCCTAAGACGAGGCGAGATGGTGCAACCAGGTTTAAAACCACCCGATCGGCGATCTCTACCGTGGATTTCCCCGTCCAGCCAGATGCGCATCTGGAGATCGGAAATCCGAAAAATCGGCCAAGTTCACGATCAAGACTCCTTTTAGAAGACTCTGCCAGCACTCACGGGGTGAGTGAGGCTGGGAAAACCACTGCAAGAAGTTTGGAAGGTTTGGGTTGTCAGCCTTCAGCACACGAGCAGAAAGATCGCCAGAAATGGAAGTGGCGGGTGCTTCCTCCACGAAGGCCTGTCAGGGCTGTTCACGACGCTTTGAAAGACGCCACCGTCCAAAACTTCAGATGCCAGCCATGCAGGATGCTGAAAGGCTGTCTGGACAGACACTAGGGACCTCCATCTGCACATCGTAAGGTTTCACTGCCCAAAGATTGGCGGGAATCCATTGCTTTTGAGAGGCATGGCTTTGCTCCGGCCATGCCATTGCTGTAAGCCGCGACGGAATAGATAGTCTTTGGTGCACACAGCGACAGCAAGGCGGGTCTCAGGATACCTGAGAACGTATTAGCAAGGATGGATCCCATGCACGCCAGTGTGTCGTTGCACAAGATGGGTCGAAATCCAGAAAGCGGCGATGGTGACAAACAGATACCGGGGTGGTTTCTGCCGGCGCTCCACAGCGATGGGTGTCGATCGTTGTGCTGGAGCTTGAGCTGCACGTGGTCAACTCTACCTCCACGGTGCCGCGGACTCCAAGAGAAAGTCTGCACTCGAGAGTGGGGTGTTCTTAGACACAGAACGCCACTCCCGGCCAGGCCAATGCTCCAATGCGATGGGTCAAATTATGGTCTGGGAATTGGGCGTCTTTGAGGCCGTGCCCAATTTGTTATATTAATGCGTTCTCCACAAAAATTTGACATCATGTACAGAACTCGAAGCTGGTGCTGCAGTCTAATTTTCAACAAAAAAAAGACAAGGCTTGACATGATTGTAGCCACTCAATGAAACGCGTTCATTTAATTCCGGACAGAGGAAGTACTTGCTCTGTCCGGAATTAAATGAAACAATTCGTTGGGAGGCTGCATTCGTATCAATTACTTGATTGTTTTTCTTGAAAATGCACCCACCGCACCTACTATACACCTATTAGCTGCTGCCAAGAAATCAGAAGGAGCGGTTGAGCAGAGCGCATTCGGCAATGCATTGAACCTGTGCCACTTCATTCCAGAATTTGGACTCTCCGGGGCATCCCCCCGCCCACCAAAAGATAGGTTCGCAGGGCCCGGGATGGCCCAACACACACGTGCGGCCCCTTTTGGTGGACTTCAGGGCACTGGAACGGCAAAACGGCCAGCCTCGCTCAGGCTCCAACGCAACGATCGGCACTCATCGCTATGGACAACCAGCGGAAATTGCGGATGGTTGCGCATCTCGTCATTGGTGATTGGCGGAAATCCCCGTCATCGTCCACGGCGATGCCACGACATATCTGGGATCTGCCGTGGCCAGCAGGTCTTTTGGCGTCTGAAGGCTAGCCTTGGAGCAGCTGCGTGCACAAAAGCTCCCCTTTCGTTGCGGATCTCGAATCAATGGCCGGGTTGGCGCACGGAACGCCCCCTCACAAGACGACATCAATCCCCTCAAACACGACCGATGGAGGGTGTGGATGCTCCATCGGAGATCCCAAGTAGTATATGGTGATGATTTTGCTTTCCGCAAGGGCGACGTAAAACATCTGTTGCAGTAGCATCTCTCAAAGTGGCATGAACCACAAACGAAACACTCCTTGTGGCGGATGCCTGGGTACAGCGATCTTTTCGTTGTTGTGAAGCGAGTTGACAATCATATTCTTCTAAGCTTTCTGTGGTGGCGTGAACACTTGCACCCATCCTGCCCAGATCGGCGGCTCCTTGTGAAAACGCCCCGATCGTGAAGTTCCCGATTTCCGTGTTTCCGACCCGAAATGAAAATGTTCAAACGGCCATCAAAACCACGGTCGCGATCGACGATCGAGCAGTAAGGATCTCGGTTCCACGGCCTCTGTGCTTCGACAGGAAGGCCTACGACCTGCCGCCACAACGGCAGCCGCAAATATCCACTCTGCGCCGCGCGCCGATAGTCGCCAAGCGACCTGGTCAAGGGGCCGTTCGTGCGGGTTCAAAGTACTGCGATATGACCTGTACTTATCCGTTCTAGACAAAAATTGACAGGATATAATAATTTTATAGGCACTGCTCTGGCCAAATATTCAAGGAAAATTGGTAAGGGTGTGATACAACAATGGGCTCCCAAGTAAATTGTTTCATTTAATCGCGGACAGAGGAAGTATTAGACAAACCCTTGCGCCAGCGTTGGTAGCAGTGCAGCCTGTTGTGCAAAAAAGAAGACCACAGGGTGGCTCACTGCTACGGTTTCAAAGGGGATTTCGGCATGTGCTTGCAGGTGGGACATTATGAAAGACATATCCGCCTACAACCAATGCAGGCAGTGACCAGCACAGCTGCTGGGGCCACCCTGCTGGCTCAAGGACTTGTGCCAGGCCTTGCGAACCGCCCGTTCTTCCCTGGACGGGTGCAAGTTTCGGACTATCTTGACACTTCACAGGCACATCAACGCGTCCTTTCCTGCCCTTCATCACCTTGTGGATGGATCCGATTATCCGATTAGCTTTATGCTAGCACCAAATTTGTCATTTGGCAATGGTTTCGCTCAAACAACGTGTAAAACCGTTGAATGGGCAATAGGAAATGCCGCAGCTGGCTGTCAGCTCTCTGATAGTAGTGCTGATTGAGGCAACACTCGATGCACTGACGTTCGAATACCATTTACTGTGCAACATCATAGAACGCTTCCTTGAAGAATGTTGCAGAACGTACTATATAGTACGTTCTACTTGCATATATGCAAGTACGTGGAGCTATATGATAGGCATTATTGCTTGGTGACGTCGCCAGATCGATGTCAACTTCAGTTTGCCCGATCCATGCTACCGCCAGGGAACATGAACAATCGTTTCCGACCAAACAATCTGCTTGGTTTTCACGCCCATCATCGCCTATAAGGTGCACGGGCAGTGTTTTGTCACTGCATAACAAGTGCAATCGATACATTTGCAGCATGCCACCTCCTCCAAGTCAGGCCTGAGTTAGGTTACCTAGAGCCTCGGCTTTTTGCTGATTGCATTTTCGGAAAGCAAATTAAGGGATTCAACAGAGCAGTTTCAATGGTGCAGCCAATTGTAGTTGCAGCAGGAGATATCCGATATAGTTGTTTGAAAATGAGTGTGCAGCACTGGAATGATTGCATCATGCATGACATCATGCACACCATATGGTGTGACTTGGGAAGGTAATTACAACGATCGTTGATCTACGCGCGAGTACAGCTTCCCTGGGCAGAGGTTAGAGTCTGCTTGTGTCAGATCTTTCATCGCCACAACAGTATGTGCCCGTTGTTGGAGAAAACCACCGCTGATCTAATTCAGGTCATCACAGCGATTTTCCAATGCAATTGGAGTCGCTCATGTGTGATCGAAGCGGCGTTTCACATTCTGTCGTCGACTTTTGGAATCAGCAGTCCAAGAGGCTTTCTTGAGCAACATGGGATTGCCTCCGTACCAGACCTGACCCGCCCCGCTTGGCGATGCACGCGTAGGATGGTTTTCCTACTCACCTAGATAGCGGTGGACAAGTGCACCTCACAGGACTTGGATCTGGCTCCCATGCACTGAGTTCAATGTGGCGTTCCTCACCTCCTTCCTGATTTCCCAGCCAAGAGCCACCGCAGCTTGCCAATCCTTCATCGCATCGTCATTAGAACGCAGGCCCAGCAGCATCCCGCCCCTTGTCCACGCCCTTCGCAGGCTCCATGCCAGTTCGCCGCACCGCCTGTGCCCATGCGCTGCATTCACATGCGCTCCGCCCATCCCACCGCCCGAGTCGTCGCTCAAGTCCTGGTCATCGCAGCCAGCCTCTGCGCCGTGAGGTGCCGCAAACCAAGGGCTGGTCTGCAGGCACCGGCCGACGCAGGCAACCCATTTCCACTCCCTTCCGGGCGACCGGCGACGCACGGCGCCCCTGCGGTGGACAGTGCGGGTGAGGGGGAGAGTTGGCAAGAAGGCGCCAGACTCTCCTCAAGGTCAAGCCTGGCCCCGGCCAGAGCCAGCCCTGCCGACGACCGCGGCCCAAAGGTGCAGCAAACACAAGCCGCTGGTCCAGGCGACGCCGCGCCAAATGGGCTGGGCGCAAGGCTCCTCGCCCAGGAGGCAGGGGAGAGCGTGGGGGACCCCGAAATCCCGGCGTCGGAGGAGGCCAGGGTGCTGGACACCAGGTACCCCTTCAGCACGGTGGGGCAGACGGGCGGGGGCTGCACCGGCGCCCTGGTGGGCCGCCGCTGCTACATGACCGCCGGGCACTGCGTGTACGACCCCGCGGAGGGGGCCGCGAAAGGCGGCCTGCGGTTCGCGCCGGGGAGGAACGGCAGGGAGGCGTGGGCCCCGCACGGTAGCTTCGGCGCGCGCGGATGGCGGGTGCCCAACCGGTGGCTCACGGCGGGGGACGCGCGTTTCGACGTGGCCATCGTGAGGCTGGCGGAGCCCGCGGGAGAAGCGCTGGGGTGAGCGACTGAAGTCGATTGAAATGTTGGCTTGGCGGGCTTTGCACGGGCTCTGGAAGGTCGCGGGGCTTTGGCGTCGCCATCATCATTGTTCTTACACAACAAAACAAGGCAACGAGGTGGCTGCAAGCTTCCTATGTTGCCCAAGCAAAGCAGCGTCCATGATCAGGTCGTTAATATCTAATGTATAACACAAACAAGGCCCAGTAATCTATGAACTCCTCATATGCTAAGGAGCGTTTTTTGGCAACAGCGTCCGTTGGACGTCGATGATCTGTCCACGTTAATCGTGTGTGCGCGTTCAAGAATGCTGGGGAGGTGCGGGGTCTGCTCATGATCATCTAACAGTTGGGGGCGAAATCCCAATGAGGCGTGGATGCGTCATTGGGATTTCGCTCTCAATTATCCTGGGGTCATGGCCTGTATTGATAAGCTCTATCCTTGGGAAACACTCGTCCCTTGAGAAAAGCGAAACAACCTACAGTTGACGAAATATTTTGAATGCTGCTGGCTGTGATGACAATAGTATTAATGGGCGACAAAAGTCGAATTGCGTGCAGGTTCATGTCCACGTAAATCGAGTTCTGTCGCTAAACATTATTGGATTTACATGGAGACTTACACATATTCAATCGCCTTATAAAGCCACTAAATCCCTGCGTTGCCACAAAACGAGGACTGCGCCAGATGACCTTTTGCAGATCATACCAAGATCCTCTGATGTATTGCAAATACATCAAATAGGTCTCTGGCGTCACCCCATGGGGGCCTGGCCAGGCCATTCTCTGCTTCGAACTGCAGCATGTGCATGTGTCTCCGAAATTGTCAAAATGCACAACTCACAGCAGCAAACACGAAGGGTCCACCTCACGTTCGCATGTCCTGGTGGCTCTATCTTGTTCCGTTTGCTCATGAACATGCAGTGCACTACAATTATTGTATTTTCACACTCATTTCATGTTGTGATTTCTTGCGGACCTGTTGCCCAGGTACATGTCGCTCGGAACCGACGGCCTCGAGCCCATGGCAAATTTAAACATAGCCGGGTACCCAAATGACAGGAATGAAAGCGAGATGTGGTACGACTACTGCCGCCACGTCGAATTCGCCCTTGGGGAGCGCGCCTTTGTGGACCATTCCTGCAACACCACAAATGGGCACTCTGGCGCGCCCATGTGGGTGTTCAAGGGCGATTCGAATTTCCGGGAAATTCGGGCTATGCATGTCGGCGGGGAGATCCTGACTGCAGCGGAGATCCGGGATGAGAATGGGGTGCTGGTGAGGGGGGGGCGCGTCCAAGAGCGAGCGCAGGCTGTGATAATGGACGGAGCCTTGCTGGCGGAGCTGCAGCTAATCATGGAAGATTTGGGGTGTTGACGAAGCAAGCAAGGGTCCCACAGCATGGATGGTTTGGCAGAGAATTATGGTGCAAGCCATTGCGGCTTTCTTTTGCCCTTGGAGAAGAGCACGATGTACTCATGGACATCGTGCCAAACATTAGTCTGCCCAAGGGAAGACACCAATTTGATATTCTGTACCACTATCGAAAACAGTGTCTTCCCTAAAGCCTTTGGGAACTTGGTCCACTCGTCCAATTGAAGGTAATGTCACTTGACACAGGCTCGAAAAACTCGAGCCAACTGTTTCTGGGAGCCAGCCGTCGCATGCGATGTGGAACCAAAGTGCCCAGGCTCGATCTGATTCTCCAAATTTCTCACAAGTTCTAATGCTTCCCTAAACTTTCTTCATTCGCTCTGAAAATCACGACCCCTTCAGCGCTCGGCGTTTCCCACCTGTCAAATGTGCTTGCGGGAACTCGAACACCGTTTTCGTGAACCATGGCAGCCGATCACAATGGACAGAATTGCCCGTCAGCGCCTCTTGGCTGCCACATCAGCACTGCACGGCCACCATCCGGAAGCTGGTGCAGTGTCGACGGTTACGTGCCAAGACCCGCCCAAGCTACCACTCACCCCCATGAACCCACCCTTGCTCACCCGCGTGCGCATTCTCTTGCACGCAAGGCGCATCCCTGGGGCGCAGCGCCCGCCCCTACGCCACCGCCCCGCCGCTGCGATCCCCTTCCACCAAGCGCGCGCCTCCGCCATGCAATCTTCCCAGGCCCAAGATGTGACTGAGGCCCGCGCCTCCGGTCCCGCAGACCGCTTCCGCGGCTGCCTGCTCGGCCTGGCCACGGGCGACGCCGTGGGCACCACGCTGGAGTTCAGGCCGCGCGGCACCTTCGCGCCCATCACCGACATGAACGGCGGGGGACCCTTCGAGCTGTCCGCAGGCCAGTGGACCGACGACACGTCGATGGCGCTTTGCCTGGCCACCAGCCTGACCGCCCGATGCAAATTCGATCCCGCGGACCAGATGGCTCGGTACGTGCGCTGGCTCACCGAGGGTTACCTCAGTTCCACGGGATCGTGCTTCGACATCGGCGGCACGACGCGGGGATCCCTGGCAAAGTACATGATCGACGGGACGGTGTTTGCGGGGCCCACGGGGCCGAGGACGGCGGGCAACGGGTCGCTCATGCGCCTGGCGCCGGTGCCGATGTTTTACCACCCGGAGCGGCAGGCGGCGGTGCACTACGCCGGGGAGAGCTCCAGGACGACCCACGGCGCGAAGGAGTGCGTGGACGCCTGCAGGTGGGGGGCGCCCCCAGCGGCCGGGAAGTCGTCTTCTCCGTCCCGGGGAGCCACACGGGCGCTACGTGGAAAAAGTCCAGTCATTGTGGGCTCAGCCAACATTGCGCCCCCTGCGTCCTCCGCGTGACGAGGGCAGGACCTTGGTCTGGGCTGTCAAAGATGTTTTTCGACACTGCGTTGGAACCGGGGGCCCATCAGTGAGAGTAATGCTCGAAGAAACAGTCCCCATGCTGCGCTTGTTGCAACGGATGATCGGCTTCGGCGGGGTCGTCTGGGAAGGCCTTTTCAGGCCTTTTCGCCCAGGCCCATGTCCTTCGAACGCCAGCCACATGTTCTGCGAGTGAAACAAGTAAGTTTGCCGCATGTCGCGGGGATGCCCTTCTGAATTTCTCATTGCTCACATCCACAGAATGTACGCCGACATGCTGGTCAGCGCGCTGTCGGGAAAGACCAAGGAAGAAATGCTGTCCACGGCGGTGACCCCGGTGTCTTCGAAGTTGCAGTCCATTTCCAACGGTTCATACAAAAACAAACCCGCGTCAGATATAAAGGGCACAGGGTACGTCGTTGAGTGCCTTGAAGCTGCTCTCTGGTGCTTCTGGAGCACAAGCAGCTTCAGGGAAGCCATCCTGGAGGCCGCCAACTTGGGAGACGATGCTGACACCACGGCGGCAGTTTGCGGCCAAATTGCGGGTGCCTACTACGGGGAGAGCAACATTCCATCCGCGTGGCTCAAAAAGCTGGCCATGAGGGACGACATTGCGAAGCTGGCGGACGACTTGAGAACCAAAACTCCAGAAGATGCTCAGCTGGAGGGTCAGTGTGCCAATGAGTGACTGAGAGCCGGTTTCTGGCCTACCAAGGCTGCTTGTTAGGGATGCAGCAGCTGTGGGCGGCAGTGGAAGGATTTGACTTCCAGGCCTTTGGAGTGCACAGGTTGGCTTGTTTATCGGTCGCAGACCGGGGCACCCTTTCTGGCACACGACTGCCCTGCTTCCATCGATTTTCGGAAATCTTGAAATGTCTAAATTGTTCATGTGCGTGCACACATGAAAGGTGTTGGGAAATGTCGTGTTGTGGAAAATTGACCTTCGTCGGCTTGGAGATGCCGTGCAGTGCGTTTCACCTATCCGATGAATGCGGGTTTGGAAGGTTCCGTTTCGCAAATCAAAACTCGCAATTCCGTTGTACCGTATTGCATTTATATCTCGGCATATGCAGTTCTGGAGGTCGCTATCTAGAGGGCTTACACCTCGGCATTTTGTCCAAACAGGGTCGCCCAATTCCTTGTGCGGCAAAATTGCAGAATTGCAATGCGTCATACTATGAAGTTCACACCATCGCAGCTTTATTCAATTGCAGGGCAAGGCTCAAGTAATGGATACTGTCAAGCGCAGAATGCGGTGCAGCCTACACCGAATCATCGCTATAACTACTAATGTGCAACAGGCGCGGCAATCATCGCGAACGCACATTCTAACGAATGACGATGAACTGAAATAAATTTCAGTATCAGACCAATGTATATTGGCAAATTTGCACAAATTTGGTGCGGAACACACCCGACCCAACAGATGCGGATGCGCTGCTGCTAAAACAAAAACTCAGCAAACAAGCTTCACTGCACAACGGGACCGTCGGATTGGCTGCCATCCCCTGCGACCAAGGCACGTTGAATCCTGCAGACGCAGGCCACCGTATTGTTTTGTCCACTTCACATTCAAATCAAGAAGTGAGTACTGAGAATTGAGAACTAAACGGAAACCTTGCTCATTTTGACAATAAGCCAAAAATGAGATCTATCATTCGCACGAGAGGTGCACGTGCATGTTCAAGACGTTCTCGGCTGCAGCCATCGCACCCGGCAACATTTCCCCCTTGTCAGTCGATCGAGTTCTGGCAGGGTTATCGTATGTCTACCACCAGTTCTCAGGCAGCATATTTCGCACCCACGCACACAGACAGGACTTAAGTCTTTGCTCACTTCGATCAATTCCCAGCACCACAGTCGAGCGAGGGGCATTTTTTGTCTCATTCTTAGGGCACCTCCTCCACAGAACCAGCTTTCTCAAATTCTTGAGAGGAGCCAATCGCCTGGTTCGGCACGATATGGTGCTGTGTAACAGCCTCATGCAGGGCCGGGTGCCTTTGCAACGCCACGAGCCGGACATTGTGCGAAATCACCGCACCCAGTGGATTTAAGAGAAACCTTCTTCAGCTTTTGCCACAAGCACTAGGATTATAGTTTTCATGCCATGATCATTCCGATCCGGTCTCGTATCCGCAGCTAAGCGCCGAGACACCTCCTTGCCTCCCCGTGCGACAGACAGTTCGGCAAGCTTGAGGACCGCAAGGCTTTCGCTTCGTTCCCTGCCACCCGATGGCAGCTCGAATGTGCCTGTAACGCCCAAGTTGGGTGCAGCCCCAAATCCGCCATGGACGCTCGAGCATCAAGTCTGCGTCATACGCGTCCTCCGAGAATCCGCTGATGTCAGACCCTGGACTGAATCCCAAGAAACAATTCTGCACGTGCGTGAATTCATGGACTTGCGGAATTGTATAGATGCATATGCATATTCGAATATGCATGCGGTGTGGCAGATCCACGTGGTTCCCACGTCGCATTCTGGCTGCTCGATCGACCGATTTGACGTCTGTGCCCAGTACTGGCGTAGCCACAGCCGGGTCGGTGCGAAGGTGGCCGTCTCCACACCAACCCTTGATCACTGCCCAAACAGGCCCAATCTCCTGCGACGTCGCCGGGGGTAGGTGGGGATAGAATAACGGTGGCATGTCAGCAGCGTCGGCGGGATTTGTTGCAAGGGAGGGTGGGCTGACCGTCGGGGCCGCCGGCGGTGTCGGCAGGGCTCCCGGTCGCCCCACCGACGCCATGGGCCACCGAGCTGCGATGTCGCAGCCCTCCGCGACGCGGGAACTGGACGACGTGGCAGGAGGTCGGGCCTCTGGTGTCACTGCCATTGGGGGGTGCCTCACGCACACCACGGAGACCAGTGCCGAAGGATTCAGAGGGCACCAAGAGTCCAGAATGACCTGAACAAGTCACGATCCTCGCGCCTTCCTGGGCGCGTGTTACGGCGCAGCCGCAACAACTTTGAGGACGTTGAGCGCTGAATCTGTCTTGCTTGGATGACGTCCCCGGAGTGCCGCTGCAAACATGTGCATTTGCTTTTCCTATAATTCGCTGCACATTTTAGGTGCACCTAAACCTGAGGCCGCTGGGCATTCTTTTGCTGGTGCACACTTTGCACTGCACTTCACACTGCACTTCACACAGCGCCCGCCCGCCCGCCGATGACTGTGGGTCAAACTTCGCATCCGGGTTCATCCAGGCAGCTTCCCGTCGGGCACGTTTTGTGCGCCATGCAGGACCGCGCTCAATCCGCTCACGGGCAACGTCTTGCAGATCGTCCCGTCAGCCGTCTAATCGCATGACCCCCAGACCTGCCCTCCCATTCCCAACCCATCCTCAACCCGAAAGGGGAACAGAGGCACCGAGGCCGCCAGCCGCGGGGTGGGCGGCTGGTTCGAAGGAGGGCCACAAAGAAATTAAGCGTTGAGGTCACAGAACCGAGGTGGCAAAGGCCCAGGTGCCAAGCTCAGAAAGGGGCCCATGAGGTTGGCCGTGAATCAGGCGGGCTGCCTGGCGGCCCTGTTTCTGTGCGCCGCGGCGGTCGGCGCCACGACGCACCGCTGCAAACTGCTGGCGTCGCGCCTGGCGGAGGCTTGCCCGCTGTTGGAGCGGCTGGGCGAGTCTGAGGGCGGCGGGCACAACGGGGCGGCCGGAGGAGGGGGGGTGGATTTCGGGCCGGACTGCTGCCAGGCGCTGGCGCGCTTCAACGATTCCGGGTGAGACACCAAAGCCCTCTGGTCGGCGGTGGCGCAGCGCCAGACTCGCGCAAGTCATCAAGGCACCAAGGCGCGCGTGAGTGCGGTGCGCGCTGGACATGCGTGCATGAGTTGGCGCACACGTTAACATGGGGCGGATGCTTGTGGCCCATGGCTGGAATCCCATGTCGGCATTGGCATGGGCGATCGATGGCATGATTGTTGACATCCGCTCCAACTGCACGTTACCCACCGCACCTGCACCCAGCCTGGAGGGTGCTTGAGCCAGGCAAAATTGTTCGAAAGCTCTCATCCCATTGTTAGCTTGGCTGCCTGCTGAGCCGTTGTGTGCCTCGATAAGGTGCTTGTGCAACAATGCCGTTCGAGAATCCCTGTTGAAGGATTTCGACTTGCATCGATTCGCACCGGCACTGGCGGCCGCTGCCCGTGCCGCCCCTGAGGGTTGTGGGCTCAATATTTATGCTGCCTACGGGAGAGCGGATTGCGGTCCCATTGGCGGCTTGCCTTATCATGGCGCAGGTAAGTGCCCGGCTGCTAGCTCACAAGCGGCCCTGCAGGCGATGTCCATTGTGCGCATACGCCGATGTTGAAAGCCGACCAGAAAGTGGTTCCTGTGGCAAGGCACAACCCAGTGTGGCAATCATATGTCGAACATCGGATGCTCATTGGGAATGGTTTTGCTGCAATAGCGCGATGGCAAGCGCAAGTGAATTTCACTTGTTTCAAAGAACGGGACAGCTAGGGATCACGTGCTGTTTGCAAACAAGCCCCATACATGTCCCCACAATGCTGAATTCTGGATGATTGGAATGGCCTTCTATTGTGGTCAGTAAAGTACCCAATAATATTATTTGCACCTGAACGAGCTGCTTGCTTGTGGTCCACTGGTTTTGGGTGCTTGTGACACATTTCTAGCTTGTGCAGATAGTGTGTTGTGGCACTTGAATACGCATTTCGCTGATGGATCTTGGATGTAAAAGTAAAAATCCTTGTGTGGCACTGCTCTGATTCTAGGTCGCGATTATGAATTAAATATGATTGCAGCTGCAGGTGAAAAAGCTGCGGCGTATGGTCGCGCAGCCGAGAGATCCTTTGCATCAGCTCGAAAGCTTCAAAACAAGGGTGCCTGCAAAAAAGGAGATCACATATTCAAGGTTGGTGCACAAGCGCAGCTTGAAAAAATACGTATAAGGAATATGCCCTTTGTTGAAGCATTGAACGATATGAAGTAGTTGAACTTCTGCCATTGATTGATTGCTTAATTGCTTATTCGAAGAACCATGCTGATGCTCCTGGGCCTCACCGGGCTCCATGTTGGCGGGTACATTCCCAGCAACGGCTGGAATCTCCTAGATTCCAATTGTGATGCTCCCATTAGTGAAATGCCACGGCCTAAATGAGCAACGTTCACCAACGGAAATTGCGGGATGCGACTATGTGTGTTGTGAACCTTTCCACACACTACGAAAAAAAGGGCCAAATAACACGTGTTCAAACGTGTACAAAGTTTACGGGTTTGTGTTATTCTTGTGTTCCGAGCGTGTAGAACTTTGATTAAATGTGTTTTATGTGTGTTCGCGAAAGTGTTATTTGGCCCTTTTTTTCCTAGTGACATCCAGTGAAGAGCTACCAATGAAGGAATGGTATGCAGGACCCTTTGACACCGCTTTGGTTCTGTAGGTCCTGGAGGGTTTCGAGCAGGCCTTTGGGAAGCTGCTTGACAGCGTCAGCGCCCAGAAGGAAGTCGCCAAGCTACTTAATGGAGATGGGCCAATCACTATGTTCACCCCAATTGGCACAGGTATGTTTTTGTTGCGTAGATGCAGAGCTTAGCATGTGTGGCATGCGCAGATCCACATACATATTTCATGCATGCGCCTGTCCATGTTGCTGGTATGTATCAGGCCTGGCGTCTTGAATGCCAACTGGAGGCATGTACATATTTCCAGAAACTCCACTTGCTTGTGTTGGATATGTGGAGGCTAAATATGGCTTCTGATATGCACAGGGCCCTATGTCTGCCCCCTTCGGGCACTTCTCTTGCTTATAAGCTTGGGAGTACAATCAATGCACTGCATGTGCCCAGAAACAATATAATTCACTCCAACAGGATAGAGTCTGTGTGATTCCAAGCAATAATCCAACAGCAGTACTTGCGGAATTCGAAGGCAATTGTTTTCTTTCCAGCTTCATCCAAGAATGTTGAGTATACGAGTATTGTGATCATCACCATCAGCTATTGCCTGATGACCTGCCTACCAATAAAGACGCATATTGATTCTTCAGTGCATGGGTACTGGGGGGACCCAGGAAAAATGCCTTAGTCAATAAATTGAATGTTCTAGCTGTGTGCTTGATGTTATCCTGTGTGCCATGCGGACAGAAGGAAAACCTGAATGCATGGCATGGAGACCAAGTTGCAGTCATGTGATGAAAATCGAATGGAACTTGGAAATCTGAGTTCAGATTGTTCTTGCCATCAGAAATTTTCTCATTCGGCTCTAGTTCTGATTTTCTTTCATGGGCTATTGTGGCTGGCAGAAATTCAAGTCGAAGTTGAAGTTGATGGGGAAACTGTTGTGGAGGATGTGGACACCACACTTAGGAGACACATTTTGTTGGGAAACTACCCTACAAAGAAGCTCACTCCTGGGCAGACATTCACAGCAGAGAATGTGAGAGAGCTTTGTGGAGACAGCAGCCAGCTGTGCTCATTGTGCTTGACCAAACTTGCTATGTCACTCCCTGGCAAACCTTGCGTTTGGCAAGTTGTCAAACATTGGTGTTTCTGCTGTCCTATTCCTTTGTGGCACATGTTTTGGAGGGTGGTGCCTGATCAATTGGGATTCCTTGCACGTTTGTAATATGTTCATCTGCGAACAGGGAGAGACTCTGGAAATCACTGAAGAATCTGGGGAGCTACGAGTTAACGGCATTCCAATTGTACAAAGGGATATCAAGGCTTGCAATGGATGGATACATGGTGAGTGTTCAGTAGAGTCTCGTAACGGCACCACAGCAGCACTGTGTTGCGGTTTCCTGCCTTTTTTGGAATATTTCAGGTGTGTGTGCTGCTCGTTGTCAGAAACATCATTAACTGGGAACGTTTCGAAACTAAGCCAGGTATGGTCCAGCTGAAATGGAGAATCAACCATACTGTAAGCGGCTTCTCTGATTGCGAACAGCACGAAGATTGCCCACATTTGTTGGGTATAATTTGAGCCGTGGGAAATGCCCCCCACCATATGTGTATCCCAAGAGATTGAATAACTGTTAATTTGCATCCGTCAACAGTGGTATTGTGGTTTCTGCTCAGTTGTTGGGAAGCCACTATCTCCTCTTGCAACCGGCCAAAGCTCGGCAGCTGAAAAGGAACAAGCCCCAACGCCGGCAAGCCCCTCACCTGGCAATGCGGCTGCCCCTCTCAAAAGGCCACCAGCCAGGAATTCTACACCACCTCCATCGTCAGCCAACTCAGGAGGCAGCGGAAACAGCGGTGCAGATCCCTGCAAGTGCTCAGAGGATGGTGTGATTGATGGGCAGAACACAAAGAGGCCGGGGTGTGCACAGCACCTGCTTGAGGCAGAAAACAATCTACTCTTCTGCTATGTTGAAGTAAGCCTCGTACCTCTCTCTTTGGAATTGATATTACACTTCGTGGTCGCATCTGCCATTCAATATATGAATATTTGTAATTGATGCTCTGCCTTTCAAAAGTGCATTGGGCTCACAGCTGATGGAAGCGCCTGTGATGACTCTGACTGCCATTGTTCACGACTTCAAGGAGCTCGACCCATTGCATTGAAAGGTTTTGACTGTTTCACGTGAGATAGCAGACTCAATATGGATTCAATTATTCAATAGCGTTATTCAGTATATATTCAATATAGATTCAATATATATAGGAGACTGGTAATACTGCGCAAGCAATGCAACCGATTTCGTGATGACACAGAACCTAGTACCCTAATTTGTTGGAGAATTTGTGGAAGCAATGAGCCTTGGTGAAATAGCTATCTTGCCGCCTTGGCGAATATTTTTGGGTGACAAAGGAGACGGTGGCAATTGAAGCCAACACAGTCTGACTCATGCTATGTTGTGGGTACATCTTTGGTATTTGCTTCGTAGTAACACCTTCGGCTGTTCGTCGCGCCTGGGGAGCATATTGCAAGGATGAGTAATGCACACAATAACAAGGTCAAAATATGACTGAGAATCTCGCATCCTGTGTATAGGATTCAAACATGCCGCCATTCATAGATCCCCAGGCACAGTGTCAGCAGCAGACAAGGAGCAATTTTCTATCTTTGTAAGCACATGCGTAGCTGGTGTGTTCAGGACGCGCAAGGGTGCGCTGCTACTGGGGCATTTGAGCTTGCCGAATCAGGTGGATTCAAAGACGTGAGTTGGCGCAACTGCACCATTGAGGAAGCTGGCGACCTGCCAAGCGTTGGAAAGTTGATGTCGGATGAGGTCACCGCTTTCGAGCCTGCCTGGGAGAGCCTGTTCAATCACGGCGATTTGCCTGACATGCTCATGGGTGACGGACCCTTCACAGGTTGGTTGGTGGCGAAACTCTGCATGACACGGGCACCCCGATAGTTTCACCTCGATTTTTGTATAGGCAGAAGACGCCCAATGTTGCGTACCTTTGAATGGGTGCTGTAGATGAGGTGGAAGTTGTTCGTTCAAGCGCAAGCGCAAAGTAAAAATTCTGCAGCCCGTTTGACTCCTCAAAGGGCAAACGTGTACATGTGCAAGATGTGTATGTTGGAAGGAATTTCAAGGTCGTGCTGCGGTAACAGGAAACTCTTGCTCCAAGACGACGAGACCAAAGTCAGTTCTTCCGGCTGATGGAGACGTTTTCCAGACATCATGAAGTCTTCTGTGCCATATATCTAACGGATTGGAATTCTGCGAAATTTTAGCAGAATTCTGGGAAGATTGCGTGACACGTGTTGCTATAACGTACTACTATAGCACCCATTTTATGCACTTTGGTTGCCACTATCTGAACAGCAATGGCAGTGGAGTGGTTGTCGCGCTGACAAGTGACATGAATTCGCTTAAATGGGCCCAGGGAGTCGCTTCTTTTGTGAATTCGTGATTTGCCAGTTTGCCACTTTGCGAGTTCTGAGAAAACTCGTAGGCCAATCGTGCGACTTCTGTGCGACTTCTGTTCTGTCAAGCCACTTAACTAAATTCTAATGCGAGGCGTCAGTGAACTGCTCCTTAAGAAATCTGGGAATCTTGCTTCCATACTGCAGCGACTGCTAAGGTCACAGCACAGGGAACTCCAAAGCCAGTGACGTCTTCGCAAACATCTGTTAGACGAGCAAGAACATGCCTGGCGTCACCTACAGGCTTGCATGTGCGGCATCATGCCGTTTTCTCGACATCGTTGTCTTCATCGTTCTTCATCGTTCTTTGTCTTCATCTTCATCGTTTTCTTTTGATGAAAGCCAGAGGCTGAACATTCCAGCCGTCTCTGTTGTCGATGTGTAGATGCGAGTGTGTGCAGTACCTTCGGATCCCCAGTGCTCAATCGCTGACTTATCATTATCCTGGCATTTGGGCCCAGTTAAAACAAAGGTAAAGGACGTGGCTTTTTGCCATGTCAGGACAGCAATGGTGCATAGATGACAGCCAATCTTGCATGCAAGAAAGGACCACAGCTCGCTTTTGAGTGGCAAATTGTACTCAAAAACACTGCCTGGCAGGCTGCTCACTGAGCCACATGAACAGAATTATTTTTCTCTCTTCCCAATGTACCACCCAACATGCCGAAAGCATGTTGATTGAAGCATAAAAAATAATGCAAATCGAAGGGTTAACTGTTTAATGCAGATTCACAATGCAGGGACACTGACCCACTGGCGAACAGCAGCCTGAGGCTATTCTTTGTGTGCACAGTACTTGTTCCAAGCAAGGCTGCAATTGACACTGCAGCCATTGGAGACAAGGAATCCAGGGTGCAGGCTCTTGCCAAGAAACACATAATTGCAGATGATCTCTCAATGGAGGCGCTCCTGGCAAAGAGCGGCACCAAGGGGGCGACGATAACCAGTCTGGACGGAGTGCCTTTGGCTATCTCAATGGAGGCAGATGGCAGCATCTCTATTGGAGAGGGTGTCCACATCCAGCTGTCGGACGTCGTTGGTGCGAATGGAGTGGTGCACCTGGTGGACAAGGTAGTGGAAGAAGAAAACGAAGGTGTGCTGGCCAGCACACAATGGCTTCTGTTGATGCCACTGTATCCGTTCCCCTCGGTGGGAATGATGCATGGTTGAGGATGATGGAAGTACTTGCACTGCACTTTCCAGCTCCTACCCCAATTTAGTGGCACTGACTGCAGTAATATTCTGAGAGCGGATCCAAATGTGCACATCAACGCTGTGACTCCATCAGGGTGACGGTACGGGCCCTGAACCAACCCTCTGCATGTCATCTTCCACGGCTACTTCAATGGCTTAATCTCTGGCATCTCCCGCAGTTGCTTCCATGGGATGTTTCTATCATCCGTTGCCACCCCAGATTGTGCAATGGTGGCGACGTCCAGTGTCCATCAACATCTAAAGGAACTGCAACACCTGTCTTTGCAGGGACTAGCCCAACCTTGCCGGAGCCGCCCGCGTCCCTTCCGCAACCGACTCTTCCCTCCCCCGTGCCCGCAAGCACACCACCGCCAGCATTGCCAAAGCCGTCACTGCCAAAGCCGACACTGCCGACGCCAGCGCTTCAGGAGCCAACGCTTTCCCCACCTTCGAATGCCACCGCAGTGGGCGGGGCATCCCCGTCTGCTCTCACTCCGCCGCTTGCTGGAGCAACCGGAAACGAGCTGGGCACGGCCCGCCCGGTTGGAGCCGGTGGTCTGGTGAAGGGCCGAAAGACTGGAAATCCGTGTGCCTGCTCGAAGGATGGCATCAGTGGCAGGGTGAATACGGGGCGCCCGGGCTGCAAGCGCCACATCAAAGGGGAACGGCTGTTCTGCTACGTGCAGGATCCTGACAAGTGTCCGTTCGGGGCCCCGTCGGAAGAATTTCCCGGTGCCAAGGTAGTGGTGTGTGCGGACCCGTGTGCTTGCTCGAAGACAGGGATATCTGGCACCGTGGACACCAAGCTCAAGGGGTGTGACAAGCACGTCAAAGGTGTGCGGCGGACGATGCGTGCTGTGGAGAAATCTGCAGAGGGGCTAAGGGGCTAAGGGGATGAGGGGATGGGGGGATGGGCGGATGGGGTTATGGGGTGAACTACTTGACTAGTGATCTCAAGCCATATTGCCCAAAGTGATAGTTGTGATTTTGCTGCATATTGGACAAGAATGATTCGCCATCCCCGATCTAAGGGGGTGAGAAATATGAGAGGGTCGAGAATCACGAACCAAGCGGGTCACGAAGTTGAAACCTGCATTATATTTGGCTTGAGGAAGGGAGGACGTAGTTTATTTGATTCATATTGAAGGCGTCGTTACCATGAGTATGACATGTTCCTGGTATTCATTATTGCACATGTGCAACAGCACCTAACATATAGCCTTCGAATGGATTGCTTTCTGCGAATTTATACATCTTCACTCACCCTGCAGAAGTTTCCAAAACAAAGCGGTTGAACCTTAAAACAAGGAAACAGGCTCACACTGACGTACTCTCCTACAGCACACTTTCTCACGCTTTTGAGACTTGCACAGACGGTCGGACTGGCCTTACTAACGGGCTGGGAGGCCTGATGGCATATGTTCATGCTGGTAAGCTGGGAATGGGATGAAAAGTAGCGCTGCGTCCATGATGTTTGTTGACGCTAAATGCCCCCTCTTGCAGGCCAACCGGAACTGTGCTACGTGGAAAAACCTGACGAGTGCACAGAAGGATTCAAGTCCGAGCGGTATGCTGGCACCCGTTGGCGGTACTGCCCAGAAGAAGCCCCGAAATCGAAGCCGAAACCGAAGCAAGATAATCGAGATCCCTGCGAGTGTAGTAATGTAAGTACGCCGAGGTCCGTGCATGAGCGGACTCAGCAGGGAAATGTTGGCAGCGTGGATCATGAAGTGTGTACTTGTTTCACGGCAACTATCTCGATGCAAAGTTGGAAGCAAAAGCCAACCACCTGCTGTGCCGGTGACGTTGTCTCAAGCCATTTTGCATAAAGTGATAGTTGCTGGTTTTGCAGCACATTGGACAAGAATGATTCGACGTCCACGATTGTGAAATAATTATGCACAAAATCAAGCCATTTTGACAATCCGGGTGGTCGAGAAGTTGACAAGTCTGGTTGACGTCTATGTCACAGGATGGGAAGAGCGGAGACGTGTACACAGGCCAAAAGGGGTGCGGTCAATACGGAGCTTTTGGCGTGGGCTACATTTGCTGGGTGGTGAGTTGGCATATACGTCACACTTACGTCACATTCGTGTCGCACCTACGTCACTGTGGGTAACTTTGAGGGTCCATAAAGAGTGTTTTGATATGCAAGATCGGCAAATGTGCAGGTGTCAAAAGCGCTGTACAATTATTGTAACCAATCGCCTGTGTGAAAAGACAGCATTGCGGTCGGGCCAGCAATGCGGTTTGTGGACCTTGAGCCCTTGTGACGCACACATCATACGTACAAATCATGGCGCCACATCAAAGGTACAAATCATGACGCCACGTTTGGGAGTCCTTGCGCCACTTGGTGTCCATGCATAATTAGTACTCCAGGCGCAACTGGTCTTGCAGCCTCCTGTGTTAGTCTATACTTCCTGCACGGTGCAGTATGCAGGAAGAGTAGCGTTTGGTAGGGGCAGCTGGACCGCCCACAGTGGAATTGGCAAATGAAGCCCCAGGATATGACATCCTCCAAATCTGACGCGCAGGTCAAGCCAACGGAGTGCATCGTCGGCATCGGGTCCCTGCGCTTCCCGGGAGCAGCCTGGAGGCCCTGCTGACCAAACATTGGCGGGCACCACTCCTGCAGAGGTTTAGATACAGCAACGGATCTCCAGAGCGGTCCAAGCGGCAGAGGAGTCCATTGTGGCTCCTGGGACTGTACCGACTGTTAAATGTGATGAAACGAGAGCGTCTGTCGCAGCTCAGAATGGGGACGGGACAAGACTGCTGCAGTGTTGACGGCGGTTTGGTGCACGGGGTTGTTTTAGTTCTCCATCTGGGCTGTTCGTTGGATGACCAGCATAAAAGAATCCGTGAAGAACATGAGACTCGGAACTTCGGAAACGATCGTCTGCTTCTCTATTTCTAATAACGCACTCGAGTGCGACATGCCTTGCGTTGGAGGTGCGAATACTGTCCCAGCTGTGCGAGACCAGTCGTGACGGGTGGAGCGCTCTTGTGTGCGCCACATGCACAACTGTCAGCGATGCACCCACGAACTGGAGAGCGCGGCAGAAACGTGATGGCGCATGAGCGTCCCTGTGGAGTCATTTGCAGTTCGCGAGAGTAGGGCCTATGTTTGTGGCCGCCGCATCACGGCAAAGTGCGCAATGTTTCTGGGTGTCCATGGAGTCGCTGTGGCATCGCACTGGCCATGTTGCCTTTGTTGAAAAGGCACCTCAGGATTTGGAGAACAACTAATTACTGAATGGCGTTTTGTAATTTTATTACCACTGTCGATCCAACTGTAGCCTAATTAGTTGGGGGTGCTCAGGCCAGGGCAGCCCGGCCAGACATTCCCTCCTAAGGCAGTCGTGGTGGCGTGTTGCAGATCTGTTTTGGATCTGCACACTGGGCACAGCATTGTGCAACACGCAAATTTAGAGTGACATGTAATCGGGTTCTGCTTGGGATGCAAAGGCCCAACGCCTCTTATTATTCGACCCTGCGAAACAGGAAACATCCGATTTCCCCAGTCTCGTGGCGCCCACAGGGCACGGTGACTGCCTACGGAACAACGTCTGACGACTGTGGGTGGGCCGTGAATTCATAGCTGGCGTCTGCTAAGTACTGCAGGGTATCCGTGGCTCGCCACTACAAGACAAATCATCCGATGCTGCGCATGCCACGGCTTGACATGGCGTCTTTGAATGGCGGGGCAGTTCTGAAAATCCCAAGATATTCAAACCTGCAGGGTGCAGCCCAACGCAACTGCCATGACGACCAACTTAAACAAATCCTAAGCCTGAGAGAAACAAAACCTGACCAAAGCTATAGCTCGCCCTTTAGCATCTTGTCGAGGAAGCCCAAAACATCGCTCTGTGATTTCAAATGCAGTCCCTTGGACTTGGGTCCCTTCAGCGCCTGTCGCAGCCTCACGTCGAAGCGGCATATGACAGCATGCAGGGTCGATCGCAGCGTGTCTGCCAGTGCATCCAATCCACAATCGATGTGCTCCATGCCGTCTGCAAATGGCGACAGAGCTCTTCTGCGCCTTGCAGGTGCGGAGAGTGCTACCTTGATGAAACCAGCCATCCCAAGTCAGTGCTGCATCCGATGTCGCAGCACTGGACACAATACAGTGCATAAATTGTGCTCCTCAACTGTTGTCCCAGTAGTGTGTGGCAGTGTTTGGTCAGCAATGTAGGTCAGCAATGTATGTCAACAATGTATGAAAACAATATCACCATGCAAGTTTAGTGTTCAGTCCCTGTGCAATCCCTACACCCTACAAACAAGTGCACAGAGAAGAAGCAAAATAAAAACTGCAATTTGGTGCCCTGGTATGGGCGCTCTGGCGCCTTTCTTCTAAATATGAATTCGCGTCTGGTAATTCAAATCTCTACGACCTGCACAGGACTGTCCCTTTACTTTGGGCTACCCTCCCCGCGGCAAACAGTTTGGGCGATGGCAACTGCGACGTCACTTTCGCACCAAGCGGCGTTATCAGTGATGGAGATGGCATCTAAATGACTGTGATGGCATAAAGAAGTGTCAAATGCCATATCGGTTGGCATCCCCCAAAAGGTGTTTTCTAAAGACCTGGCCTATCTGGCACTGGTGCGGAACGACAGGTTAGGTACCAATTCAATCTGTCAGTCTGATGCTGGCAACACTAGGCAAGTTAAGGGCATTTTGCGGACGACAGGAACCTCCCTTGACATCTTCAGAACACAAGTATGGATGGCGACTGATCCCCAGCACAGCACAGACAGACAAATTCTCATACTTGCTCTTCGCCAGGCTCTGCTATCTGCGCCATTTAGAGGGTGCCCAGGTTGCTTTTGGCTGTCTGGGAAATTTCAAAGTGAGGACTTGTGCACCCTGATGTGTGTGCTTGTGTGTGCATGTGTGTGTATTTCAGAAGCGCGCAAGTGGAACTCACAGCATGGTCTGTAAGGGCAATCGTCAGGCTCATGAAATCCAGCAAAGCCACCACAATGTCCTGAAGGCCAGGGTCCCCAAGCTGGACGTGCCCATAGTGGTCCTCAGAGAAAGATGCCACCACCAAGCCACCCAGAGCGCGAATGCAGGAGGTCGTCTGGTGATAGCTGCAACAATCACAGAATTTCAACGCCGGTGCTTTCAATCTTGTAAACTTTCTGTTTCAGGGTTTTTCAAGTGTGCAACAGAGGCTCCTGGTGGAACAGACGACATAGGATCGGCAAAGTAAGGGCAACAGTGGCAGAGCCCACGGGCAACTCTGCAAGATACCCAGTGGACGGGAGTGCCGGTCACGCTTACAAAAACTTCAACCATGTCCTTCAGCAAATAAATCACCAGATTTCGCAACCCTGGCATCGTACCCATGCCACATTCCTGCTGACAAAAGCTGCACCGGTTGTACACAGAGGTGGCTCATCTAAGAATTGCATACAACTCACCACAGCACCTGCATACACCTTGCCCTTTATCCTTCTGTCAGCACGATTGAATTTTGAAAATGCCAATGTGCATAGCTCGAAATACTTAGGTGTCTTATCATCGACTACCTCTACTGTTTGTGAGGTTGTGCCATGGTTTCGCCAATGTCATTGTTTATAGGCAACTGGAAATTAATTGGAGTCCTAATGTGTCAAGCAACGATAATTATGGCATTGGAGCATGCTATGCCCACCATGCCAAAAAGTCATTCAGTTTGTACCAAGGTATGCGCTGTGGGATGCAGCAATCACCTCGCAACGAATTTGCCCCCCTTGATTAGCACCATAAGGCTCAAATGCTGCATGCTGCTCGGCCAACAATAGCATTTACTGGTCGCTGCAACAAAGATCAGTACACATTGGAGTTGTGGACTTGTGGAAAGCGAACTGCACATGCTGTGTGGGCCACATATATGTCCACATAGGATTTTCGTGCACTTCAACACTCCACACAGGACAGTTGTCTGTAACAGGTGTCCTCTGGTCCATTGACATGGCATTTTGGTTGCCATGTTCCATCTTCCATGTTGAACCAAACAAGCATTTCCGGAAGAGAGGACACTTGGGAGATACGCTCCGCAACTTCTCTGGACAACAAGTTACAAGGCATTTCAAAGGCCAGCTGGGCCTAAATCCACAGGGTTGCAATGTCTTCAGGCATCATGTGGAAGCTCATTCCTTTCACTACCTGCCCCTGATCGTCCCTACTGCCCAGTGCAATGTTGTATTCCTCACAATTCGACGTGCAGCTGCAGGGCCTCGTGTGACTGCAGTCTTGTCTCCTGCAAAAAGGTGCAAACACTGTAGCACATTCCAGCTGTGAATTTTCTGAACTGAATAGATGTACAAGGCAGATGGCACATACACATGGATGGACACACAAGCCAACACCATGTCACAATTTTCAAGGACAGAAAACTCGCTCAGACTGACAGAAAATGCAGCAAGTCCCATGAAGATCCAAGACAGCAGAAGTGCCTCAGGATCAGACAAAGAAAGCACAGTCTTGCATCTTTATCGCCATCTTGCTTTCAATGCCAGCCACATTTGTTTAATACAAAGCAGATGCTTCAGCCCATGTTAGAACCTGCTTCACAGATGCACAAAAGGCATGTGGGATAGTGGATGCATTACCCGGTTTGGGCGGCAGGCACTCCATCAATTGCACCATTATCTGCTGTAGATGGAGGAGGCACAATTTAGTGATGGCTGTCCATATGTCGGCCCCTTGTTCGCTTCCAAAAATGAGCTCCCTTCGGAGTGGGTAGACACCATGCTCTTCTGAGATTCGGCAGAGATCTTCATAAACAAGGCCCTATGAATACAGCCAGGCTCAGCACTGCACTGCATAGGTTCTGCGGGGCCCTTATCAGCCTCTGCAGCAATATCTGCTGGACGGGAAACACACTTGTTCAGAAATTAATGGCCAGCTACCAACGTTCTGACGAGCTGACTAGGGCCCTAAAAGGGTGCCCAAGCTGAATCCCAACTCATGCCAGTGGGTTAAGGACACGCTGGCCTGCCATCGCCTTCCAGGTGCAAAGGCAGTGGTCTGCCTTTGCAGGGCCTGGAATCCAAAAGACAGGAAGCCCAAAAGAGGCTGATGCCATGCAATCTGCCACCACAGCAGTGCGTTGGGCAACACAGTGATGTCCACAGCAGAACAGATGTAGCTCACTTTCACTCCATACAAGTCAACACCTGCACTATCTTATTGGGCGGCCTCTTCAGCAGTTGGATGAGTTCACAGTTGGCAGCATCGTGTCCAGCTACTCTCTCGGTGAGGTCGAATCTGTGACGCTCGGACAGGACGGAATGCAGCAGCGTGTTCATGCCGCACCAGCACCACACACAGAAAGATGACCACATCAGGATGCCAACTGAGTTGAAATCGTGCTGCTGCAGAACGTGGCAGAAAAGGGAGGCAAGAGCCAGCAAAATGGACACCTGCGCAGCTGTGTACACAAAGCCATCCCAATCTCAATTTCTACAATAATCGCTTGCTTGCTAATTGGTGAAATCACAACAACACTGTCTGGTATTGCCTTAGTTGCCATCTCCTTGATTGCACGGCATGAGGCTGTCTCTGGCATTGATACAGTGAACCAAAGGGGCGTTTTGAAGGAGATGGAAGTTGATGTGGAAGCATTGCATAAAGTCCAAGCTGAGCTGCAACAAACAGAAAACTGTCCAAAAGTGTCTGGAGCAGCCGCACGCTACCCATCAGCCATGTCTAAGACTGCACAATTCCATAACAGCACATGCCATGCAGGCCGCATGTCAAGGAAACTGTCTGCAGTGGTGCAGTTATGAACAGCGAAGCACACCGAAAGACAAGCACAGCACCAATTCTGATCATGCTGTCCAGCCTCAGCACAAATCAACAGTTCAGTCAACTGTCCGATGCAGGGAAGTGTGGCACATTCACAGTGTGAACTCAGCCAGATTTGCACAATGGGAAATAACCTCAATCGAGCACAGCACTGTTGATTGACCACAGAAAATCGGATGCTGATGCAAGATGCAGTATGAATTCCTCCATCATTGAGTTCTGCGTACAACTGCTGCAGCAAGTATGGCAGGCAATGGACCATTGCCGCCAATGTTATAACTCACTGTTTGGTAGAGAGTGCTTTAGCTGAAACCACCACCGTCGATGCACAGGAGGATAATTGATCTCATCTTGACCGCTGAAGCACAAGCACAGAGCAAATCAACAGGCACTGAATTGTTGCCTGCAAGCTTGAGCACTGCACATTTCCCTTCGTGACTTAAGTTTTGGTTCTCCGTTAGTGAGGTTGCACAGTCTGTACGACCTTGTGGAGAATGGACGCCATTGGTCGACTCTGCATGGTGGCACATCGTGGTGCATCAGTGTCTTTACAGCTCTGGCAAGTGTCCTTTGCTCGTCTTGCTCCGTCTTGCTAAGCCCATGGTCATTTGAGACGGGCTGCCCTAACCCCAGCTGCAACATATGTATTTGCCTGGGGCCACCTTTGCACCAACCTGCAACCAGGGCAACCACTGTTCTTGCAGGCTGGATGATGTCTCTTAAGTATTGTGAAGGGCCGCACAAGCCAAAATGGAAAGCACCGGGTTCTTTGGAGCGCAACATCAAGCAACAATAGGTCGTCCACCATCAACAATAAGGTGTCAAGTCTTCCTCCAGTAGGGCACACAATCTTCACTGCATATGTTCAGGGGTGGGTGTCCATTGTGCACAAGGTGCATGCATCAACGTTTCCATCTGGTATGCTTGAATGAGAATAGATTCCGATGTTGTGCCACAACTGTTGCTGAGGAACTTGTATCCAAGCATGTGCTCACTGCAATTTCTGTGCAATGCACATGAGCTGAGCAACCTCTGGCAGCAGCATGCACCCAAGTACCAGCATTGCAGATTCTCAAATGGATCAGATGATTGACGTAGCATTTCCAAAGGCACTACGCCAGATCGATCGCCAGCTGCAAATTCACTAATTCTAACCACTGCAAGACACACAACTGCCGTGACAGGGACAGAATGATAAAGAATCGAAGCACAGATGTTTTTGCACATCTGCACAACACGGTCACAAACACCGTAGCAAGTTTCCTTTTGTGTTGCTGGAAATTTGCAGCCACAGGCATGCAAATCATTTGGGGATCCAAACGCACCTGCAAAGCCACCATGCACAGTACAGCCCGCCAATAACAGCTCCAGATCCTGAGTGTTCTGTTCATTGACAAAACCATCCAGATCAGCGAGCCACAGTGAGCATCACGCACTCCATCTTCACCACCACCCTCCGCTGAGTCAGGCCATGCTAACAGACTAGGAAGAAACCGGAATGGACCTCCGCCAATGTACCGATCAGCATCGCCATTGAAGCATTCAATCCCGACGATCGCAAACCAGGCTTTCGACCTCCAAGATTCATCGTTAGTAAGGAACAAACAAGTCAGCCAACCGCTGACAGCCCCCTCCTGAGCAAAGACATCGCGACACTCTGTTCCATGCCGTCACGTCCGATCCAGTGTCCCCCGCACTCACCCGCCCCAAGCAACGGACAGAAGCACAGTGCGCCCGCCGCCGCAAAGGCGATGTACAGCATCAGCACCTTCGCGACGTCCTCCACGCCCCCCGCCCTCAGCGACATCCTGGCCCCCGCCCGCAGGGCCCCCACTGGCAGCCTGGCTAGCGCCCTCGGCGGGTCCAGCCCCCCCAACGGCTCCAGCGTCGAGCATCCGAATACAGTCACGGCGAGCGCGGCCAGGTGGCTGGCCTCCACGCCCATCCACCATCCCAAGGACGCCGCGGCAGTGGATCCTGCCCAGCGGAAGGAGGGTAGGGTCCACAGGAGGCCAGATGCGAAGATGTAGGCGCACTGGTAGCCGGCGACGCGGAGCAGGCGCGGGCCGGTGATCCCGCCATGGGCGACGTCCAGGGCGGCCGCCCAGGAGGTGTTGGGGAGGGAGGGCGCGCCCAGGGCGGTCGGCATGGACGGGGGCGGGACGGAGGCGCTCGGGAAGGCCGGGGGGGAGGACGGGGGAGCTGACTTTGGTGGCCTGGTGACAGAATCGGGGATTCTGGCGAGGCCGGGAGAAGTGTTGATCGGACGCGGGCGGCCAACTGGTGTTACGGGCTGCGGGAAGTTGAGGGACATTGACGAAGTTTCTCAGTACTCTTTCTGAAGCTCTATCCTGATTGCCGTGTGGAGCTGTGTTCGACTCCTGTCGGACATTTCCGGAGTTCTTGGCGCTGGCATGCCAATGCACTTGTGCGTTTCCATGCCGAAGTCGAGCATAGCGGCTGCCCACGTGCAGTTTTCCAACCGGTCTCCTGTGATCGCCAGTGTTCTTTTGTGTTCTGCTTCTTGAGCTGATTGGGCACAAGGCCAAAGGAGATAATATCTGGAAGAGGGACTGCCAAGCTTGGCAGTACCCTTAAGGGTACTTGGCCACCCCGATTCGAGATCCCACTCGTTGCAATCGTCGCAATGAACGCGCGAAGCGATGGGCTACAACACAACACAAGTCAAGCCTTTTTGGGTCGACTTCGATGCCAACCTTGGTGCACGCAGTGCTCAAACGCACTCGCCGTGCATGGTTGGACAAGCAGCCAAGACTCAACTTGTCTTACAGCCAAAGCAAGAGAAACCACGTACAAGTCTCGGGCTCTCTTTAAATATCAGAATACGCTTCTTTTTTCGCCCACCAGAACCTATAATCAGAACGACGGACTGAACTCCCACTTCACACACGCACAACGCGCTATCCCACAGCACCAACCCATAGCATCGACCCATGGCATCGACTCATAACTCCAACTCACATTACCAACCCACGATCACCAAAATCACTGGTGGACTTGCAGCTGACTGTTGGGTAGCCATCCTCCCCCCATCTCAATCAGGTCAATGTGTGCACCATTGCGCCAGCACATGACCAGCTGCTTGCACAACATGGCAGCTGCAGCTGTCTTGGTGTGTCAGACTTTCATCTCTGTAATCTGGCTCCCAATTCTGTGTTCAATTTTCTCATAGAATTTCACTCCACATCGGTGTTCAGCCATAGACCTCCAGTTATGTGAACTGGAAAGTTGCAAGTGAAACATCAAGAAACAGTGACAGCCATTCAATTATAATGTAAGATGGCATTCCCTGAAATGAGATTCTCGGATGCCATCATTTAGTTTCAATCATCCGATTACGAATCGGCAATTGACGGAGCCAGCTTAGTGGTCAATGACCAGGAATTCGAACAGGGACTCCTTCTTCAGCTGCTCCGAGCGGCTGCCGCACACCATTGGCATCGCCCTCCACATGCGTCCGGCGCATGTTTCCGGCGCGTGCAGTCGCCCCGCGACACCCGCTGCCGCTCGGCGAAGGACATGCCGAAAACGCGTTCCAGACACGGGTGCGGCGAGCGACAGACAGCGTGTGTCACCGACTTCACTCCGGCAACGCGCGCCAAACACACGTTCCCACTCTTTGTCAGGCGTGTTGACGTTGATGGTCATGTCGGCGTGGGGTTTTCGGGTGCTGATGTGCCAACGTAAGGCCCAGCACGGAGCCCAGGCTCGCCAGCGCCTCCAATGCCTGCCGCCTGTCGTACGCTCGCCGCGTGTCCCTTTGACAGACACGCTGCTGGTCCGCTCTGGGGCTCGGCCAAGGGGCACAAATTCCTGTTTCGTTTGGCTCTCTATGCCGCTGTGGCAGGCCGTATCTGTCGGTCCGCCCTGCGCGCACCTGGCTGGCGACACTCCTGCAATCAAACTGGACGCCCTCGCGGCAAACGGGCTCCTGCGGACGAACTGGACGTCCAAACGACCCCCTCCAAGGAATCGTCGATTTTTTGAACTGGTGCGCGGTCCACGGGCTGAGCGATGCACAGCTCCTCAAGCCACCTTTGCGGCTGCCGTGAGGATCTGGTTTGGGCGAACTCTCGGGCCGTGGCCAGCGCAGGCATGGTTGATCATCAATGTGGCCAGGTGCAGGGGCCGCGGTGCCCGGAGGAGTCTTTCTGCTGGTGTGTTTCTAGTCGCGAAGCGACCGGCCTGGGCCCTGTGCGCGTGTGACACCGAGTTGTCGCGCAGAACTTTGAATCCACTGCGGCGCCAGAAGGTCGTGTCCGCGGAGAGGGGTGCATTTGCTGGGTGCGGCGTGACGATTACGGAGTTGGGAACATCCACAAACATCGTCTGCCATAGCAAGGAGACGATAGAAACGACAAGGCGCTCGCTGACGCGGTTTCAAACCTTCGCGGTTGCTTTTCCTTGGTGATTTGATCCGAAAATCGTTATTCTGCCTTGCTGTGCAGATTGTGCAAGTCGATGCCACAACACGAGGGCGAATGTGACCTTGTGGATGACGCCGTGGAAGGACCAGATGCGCTTGCCGCACAAATGGAGGATTTAGAGGTCAGTTGTCAGGACTGCTTCGGACATGCTCACCACATCCGAGATGGGGGCATCGTCGCAATGATGATGGGAAATTTCCTGATGCAGGGTGTCGCTAGAATCGCCACAATCTGCGCCGAGGGGAAATAGAGCGGGTACAAAGCCAATAAATCTACATCTCTGAACAATGGAGCGAACCAGTTTGTCCGGCAAACCGACCCATTCAACCCATGGCATGCCACGATTCAACGGCAAACAGGAGCATGTGATGGTATCATGGTATCATCCACTATCCAACTGCAAAATGAAACAGCTTGGCAGGACAATCAAGTTCCCTGTCCCCTTGTTATGTTGATACCAGAAGCAGCTGCCTGCTGGGGTGCCTGGCTTTCTGGCATATCAGGGCAAGCGTTCTGCCAACTGAACCAGACTGTGTTCTGCTGTTTCCAGCTAGACAAGGAAAATCTGGCAACTCATTTGGATGGCCTGAGGAGCTCCAGCACTGTGAAGCAACACGAGGCACTCATAGCATTCAGACAGCTCTTGTCGATGGGTATGGATGAATGCTGAAACGATGACACATATGTATTTGTGTGTGTTGCTTTCTAAATTCCAAAACCATTGTCATGTGGTGCCAGGCATGCATATTTTTCATACTTTGTGTGTTGCTTATGGCTGCACGCCACCCCACCACATTCAAAGGTACAAGTGTCAGTAGGAGGAAGAGCGTTACAATTGAATTGCAAAAGCTTTGTCCCTCTCGATGACCAGTGCTGCTGGGTAACAATCATGGCCATGTCATGTGCATTAGCCAGAGTGTCACATGGCAAGGTGGAAGTGGGAACATGAACTCTGTATGCGTACATGGCTGTGGATGTAACCAGCCAAAAACTTAGTCTAATAGAAGCAACAGGCACTACTTGTCAAGATTTTTCAAAGTACCAGTCAGACTTTGCCTGGTCACCATGCTTGCGCACCAGCCAGTTGCCCAACATGGTATGGACTCCAAGAGCACTGACATTTCCCCTTTCCATTGCTGCAGATGGCACCCCTCCAATTGATGAGGTCATTCAACTGGGGGTCGTGTCAAGTTTTGTGGAACTGTTGAAGGAAGGCTCTGAACCAAAACTACAGGTGTGCACTCATGGAAGTCTGATCGTTGGCGTAGATCATACTCCTGGGATTTGACAGGCATTGTGCACAGGATGTTCAGGACTGCTGCTCTGCAAGGACATCCCTGGGCCGTGAATTGTTGTCAGACGCATTTGCAACACGTGATTCGCTGGACCATGTGCGAGACCATGTGACCGTGTGAGCAAGTTTGCATTGTTTGTGGGTGCTCCAGCTTGATGCTGCATGGGCCATCACAAACATCTGCTCTGGGACTGAGGTCCAGACCAAGGCAGTGGTGGAGAGCGGTGCAATTCCACTGCTTATTGATCTTCTTGAAAGTCCATCAGAAGACGTCGTTGAGCAGGTGTGGCCCAGAGCACATTTCAATGCACATATATGTGCCACGTGTCTATTCCTATACCTGGAACCTTGCAGTGTGAAGCGCTTCCAACAGGCCACATACTAAATGCGCATGATTTATTGCTTGAAATGCTAATGTACAGGGAACGTGGCACATATGCTTGATAGGCTGTAAGCCTGTGCATCTTTGCTCATTTCACGCTTAGCGCATCAGGGCATTCTGCGTCGAGGACGGTGGACATTTTGGAGTACCAGGCAGCAAAAAAGAATAATTTGCGATTTGGCAAATTGGGGTTCAAAGATCTTCGGATCTGTAGATCTGTGGCTGAGTCACAGTTTTGCCTGCAAGAAACTGTCTGGCGCTATGTGTTCTGCTGTCTACATTGTGGCTGCCCTCGTTAGTTGACTGGGGCTTCACCAACTACAGGCTTTGTGGGGTCTTGGAAATATTGCTGGGGACACAGAAGAAAGCCGTAGCATTCTTCAAAAGCACAAGTTTCTTCGGTCCCTGCTACACCTGCTGAAGGACAGAAAGCTTCCGTTGCCATGCCTGAGGACCGCAGTGTGGGTTTTATCGAATATGGCTCGAGGTGAAGACAGTATTTCCATCGAACTGGTGGGTGGACAATTGAGCCTTGCGGCCGTGGTGTGCTGTATCCAGGATTTTGAGGATACCAGCATCACGGCATCACAGCACTAATGCTTCCTCTTGTTTAGCCATGTCCGGCACAATTCGTTTTGCCATAGGCTGTCCAACTCAAGCTCGATGGTTCCATTATCAACAGCAACCCGCAAATTGCTCAACTTCGCTGCAGGTTTGCGTGAGAGCCAGTTTTCAAAATTGCGTGGAACTGCTGCTGTGGATATTTGCAGGTGGAGTCTAGCGTGCCCGCTTTGAAAACGCTGCTTCTGGCAGAAGACGAGGAGGTGCTTCGGGACGCATGCTTCGCGTGCTCATACCTCTCCGATGGACCCAATGAACGAGTGCAAGCGTTCATCGACAATGGCGTTATTGAAATTATCACTGTACTGCTTGGGTATGCACAGAATAGTCGATTTGATGTCGCTTTGGATAGACATGGAGCCAAGTCAAACGGACAAAGCTGAAAGCTTGCTGCGTACTTTTGGCGAGTTGTGCCTAACCGCATCAGGCCGATAAAATGCATCTTTCCGCGCACAGTCTCGGTGTTTTGTGGTCTGAGAGCTTCATAATTGCATCACTCGCTTTGCTGTTCGTTTATGTGTTGGTTCGCAGTTCACCACGCAACAAGACTTTGCAAGGCCTGATTCACTGACTCCTGATGTTCACCCGTTGACCTAGCGATGAATTTACCAACTATCTGTGATGCGGCGGTCAGAGATGCTTCTGTCATCAAGCTTCCTCACGGTCGCGCTGTCAGCGTCCACACTCCCGGGCTCATTATCATTGTTTCCAGCTTGATTGTGCTTCTTAACTTTTCAAGATTGAACCACTGGCTGTGGCCGACTAATCGCCAGTAGAGCCATGGTGCCAAGTACATTTGAGTTGAAAAAGACGGCTGGCCGCTTGGCCTGTCGGGGCCTCCGAACCCCAGCGCTTTGTGTGGGAGTGGGCTCCCGTGCATGTCCACGCCGGATTGCTATGCCTCTGCGAGTGACCAACAGCGTGTGCTGTACAGACACATCAACCCCAGCGTCGTGTACCCCGCCCTTCGGACGATAGGGAATGTTGTGTCTGGGACAGACGCACAGACACAGGCCGTTCTGGATGCTGGGTTTGTGCCGCTGGCGGTCAGAATCCTGCGGAAGTGCTTAGAGCGCCGCGTGCTCCAAGAGGCATGCTGGGCGATATCGAACGTCACTGCTGGCAACCCGAGGCACATTCAGGTGGTGCTGAAGTGACGTGCGGATTTCGCAGGCCTGAACGACGTGGCATAAAATTACTCCCCGTTCTTGTTTGCTGAGATTCGGTTCTTGTTTTCGGACACCCTAAACCCCAACTACTGATCCACGCACCGGGACTGGCCTTGTCAGCGGAATAAGAACCGAATCTCAGCAAACAAGAAGGGGGAGTAATATATTCTCGAACGACGTCCCATTTTCTGTACAGCTACGCGGATGTGACGAGCGTCTCGGTGGAGGCTAATGCTGTCAGAACGTGAGGATAGGTGCAACTTTGCAGGTTTGCCTTTGAACGGCATGGCTCCGCCGATTCGCCCAGAGGTGCAATCGCCTTTCCTGACGCTGTGTGTGCGTCTGTGTGCGACCTGGACGAGACAGGTCGTCATGGACGAGAAGGCAGTCCCTCTGCTGATCGAGCTGATGCGAGTGGGCGGCCCAGGTGTCCGTCGCGAAGCCGCCTGGGCCGTAGGGAACGCCCTGGCGGGCGGCACCGTGGAGCAGGTGCGCGAGATAGCCACGCAGCAGTGCATCCGCCACCTGTGCGACTTGCTGTCGTTCGCGGACACCGAAGTTGTGGGCTTGGCGCTGGACGCCCTCCGGAACGCCCTTGCGGTGACCAGCCGTGTGTCTGCCGTCGACGGCGATCGCGGCCGCCTGGAGGGCGACGACTGCGAGGGCGACAACGACGACTACTTTTGGCTGTACGCGCGCTGGATAGACCGCGCGGGGGGCCTGACCAAACTGGCGCGCCTTTGGAACCACGCGTCGGGGGCTGTGGCAGAGAAGGCAGCGTGCCTGCTGGGGCTGCTCGTCGACCTGCCACCGCAGGACCTCCCGGATTTGGATTTGCTTGATGACGAGGACGAAGACGTCGAGGGCACCAGTGACGTGGACACGGAGGAGTGGGTGGAGGAGGAGGAGGAGCTGCCTGGGCGAGGGATCGGCAGGCAGGGTCGGCGGAACAGGGCGCTGTCTGAGGCCAAGGGCGGCGCCTGTGGCCATGGCGGTGAGGCCGTTGGCGCAGGGAACGCGGTGTAGCCACCTTGCAGCAGAGCCGGTTGGATGCGTTACAAGCTCGGACTTCAATGGGTTAGGTTTCAGGTGGGGATTTAGTGTTTTGTTCATCGTGCTGGCATCGCAGTAGGGTACAAATTGTTGCTACTGTGTGTGCTGCCACGAGAAGCTGCATATTGGGTACTGCAGAGGTAATAAACGCGGCGTCAGGGCACTGGGCGGGAGGTGGTGGGTGCTCGGCATTTCGTTTTGGGGCCAGGAGCCCGGAGGCCATTGAAAGAGGATGTCGCTTCCAGAGAATGGACTCCCAACGATGCATGTTGCCCATTGCTGTGGTGCTGGTGAATCGCTAATGCTTTGGTTTTCTTTCCGACTTGCTGTGGGATCTCGTCGCATGGCATGTCGAGCCAGTTTCCCTTGGAGTGGAAATTCATGAGCCGCTTCAACCGTCACAGTTGCAAACACACAAGTTTGGAGGACACTTGTATTCCCAACGGGGAAGCATAATCTGCCTTCCATTTTATGTACGAATTTTGAGTGCGGTCTGCAGCGAACATGCAAGCCGTCCATGGCTCCATCACGTGTCATACTCTTCTGCTTGATGACGAACTGAACAGCGGCCTGCGAAGGAACAGTATTGGGAAGCTTGAACCACATCACCTTTGATTATTTTCCGGCATGCTACGAGGTCGCTGCAACGTTTATTGAACTGTGCCCAGCCACACACCCATCAACACTAGCAATGTTGATTCGGGCATCATCAACGCCCAACGTAGCTTGCTCTATGCAGTTTCTGGGCAGTTATAGGGTGCTTGTTTTTTTCTTGTCATCGGTAGCATGTCTGTCTCCTTGCAAAGGACACGTAAGGTCCTCCTCCTGCAGGATGCACACACAGGGATTGCTGATGGGGCCTCAGCGCCCATCCATGCAACAGGGCGGCCCGCCCCAAACAGAGACGCCCACAACCAGTCACGGCACGCTGGCAACTGAGCTGACAATCAGCGTGCCGTGATTGGCTGCTCCGCTGTATAAAAATAAATGCACACCCAACACTCTGCTAATTGGCGCAAACCTTACCAAGCTGGCGCACCGCCTGCGCTCTTCCCGTAATGTACCGTACATTTGCGGGCAGCAACACTGTCAGCGATTCCGAATTGCACCGACAAGTACCGTACGACTCCCAGGCCTCTCCACCTCGCGCCTTCCGCAGGCAGCCATGCAGTCTACCTCCACGACGGCGCAGGCGGGGAGCCTGAGGGTGACGCCCCACAGGCCCTCTGGACCCTCGCCCTGTTCCACGGGGCGCACTCGATCAACCCCCACGTGCTCGGCCTCCGGAACGGGCGCCGCCCACGGCCATGGCAGTCACCATTCTCGCTCGCTGCCATCGATCTCCAGGCGGGATGCCCTGTCCTGCATCGCCCTGGCCACTCCGCTGCTGTTCGCTGGTGGTGCCCAGTCGTCCGCCACCGTCTTCAGCGATCCCACGGACGGCTTTTCGCTGGAGGTGCCCGAGGGGTGGGTGAGCGGCTCTGGGGATCACCAGGGGGATGCGCCCGGGGCCGCGGCGCAGCGCGTGGTGGCGTGGTACCCCCGTGACACGGCGTCCGCGGAGGAGGCCAACGTCAGCCTGGTGATCACCAACGTGGGGGCGGACTACACGCGGCTGGGAAGCTTCGGGACGCCGTTCGAGTTCGGCACCAGCATGGTACGCCGCGGCTGGGGGAAGGCGATCCTGCAGCTGAACCCAAACTGCGGGGTGGGGTGGGGGTGGGGGGGCGACTCCTGCAGCCGTCGGAGACCTGTGCGTTGTCTGGTGCAGCGAGAAAGCGAGTCTCGGAAAGGCTTGATCAGCAGGGGGTACAGGTTTTGCCTTCTTTGCCTTCCGTTGGAGGGTCATTCGTTGGCAGGCACGTAGAAGCGACGATTTGGCCACCAACTGAATAGATGCGCCTTTGCGCTATTTTGATACACCTGTTGTGTGCTCGTGCATGGGCTTCCGTGTGCAAGTAATGGCCATTGGGCCATTTGGGCCTAGTGGGCAATCTCGGCGATGGAAGCTATGTTCAAGCCCTTGTACGAATGCACAAGTGTGCAGTGCATGTGCATGTATGACTATGCTGTGCATGTACAGGTGGGCTCAATGGATCGCAGCTACCTGCTACGGGGACCAGCATTTGTGAGGGAGAAGGCAGGGCCCATACAAACGGCCAAGTTGCTGGATGCTGTAGCAGTGGGTCCCACATACCAGGTACTGTTGACAGAGCTGCTTTTGAAGGTCCCCTGAAATGGTAGGGTCAGTTGACTCAAAATTGGACACTGCCTTCGCCTCAACAGGGAAGAGCATGGGAATCTAACAAGGGATTGAACTGTGCAAATGGGCCTGGGATTCTCACCAGGAACATGTTGCAATTTGTTGCTTGCATTGTTTCTGCATACGTAAGTTCATCAAGTATTGCCAAGCATTGCCTTTCAGCTGGCTATTGAATATATGATCTTTTCAAACAAACCTGTATGCGATTCCGTTGTTTGGTTATGTTGGATATTGGCCCAAGTTACGGGATCGTTCGTCCCTCCCTTGCTGGTCATTTGTGTTTTTGACCCAGCATTGGATACTGATTCTGTGGAGATTGATGTGGATTCAGGTGGACTACATGATAAACAAACCAGGCGAGAAACCAAAGAGGCTACGCAGCCTAATTGCCTTGGGATCCAATGGGAGGGTCAACAAACTGTTCACGCTTACAGCACAGTGTTCTGAGGATGAATATACCAAGTATGAGCCAGTGTTCAAACAAGTCTTGGGCACATTCAAAGCCCCAAGCCAAAGCTGATACGGACGATTGCTTGCAACTGTTAGGTCATAGGAGAAAGGGACACTGTCACGTGATGATGTTCACATTCTTTGGAAAGCATCTTGGCTGGCCTTCACTTTTTTTGATATGGAATTTGGAGCTGTCAGGAATTTCAAAGAGCAATTTTGTGTGTTCATCATCATCCAGGGCCACCATGATTTTTAGCTCCGTCCTGCAGCGAGAAACAGGCAAACATGCTTGTGCTGCAATTTTTGGTAACACTGCGGCTCCACATGTAACAGAAAGCGAAATGCGAAAATACGAACTGATTGTTCGACTTCGTTGTGTGAGATAGTGGCAGTGTGGCATCTGCGATCAGACTGCAACGATGCCAGGACTGCAAGATTTTTCTTTCCTTCAACCCTCAGCGCTCTCTGCCTGGCTATATGGCCGCTGAATTGCCCTGTCAGATAAATCAAATGCTGCAAGTACAGCCCTGCAAAGCAACAGGGAAGCTGGTCACTTGCCCACTGCATTCCATTCCCTTTGTGACTATATTCTCTGATCCGTCGATCTATGATCCCAATCTTTGGCGGGTGGCATTTGCTGTCTCAAGTTGACACGCAAACCCGCGCATCACAGGGTCCAAAACTTCGTAATCCGCTCAGGGCAACCGACGTGGGGGGGTCAGGAGAGGGTCCCATGGGGCGACGAGAAAGGGGTGGTAGTGCAGGCAAAGCCACATGCCGGTGGCACGGTAGTAGCGGTGCAGGGCAGGCAGCACACCGCCACACAGTTGACGAAATGGAAGAGGGCCGTCTCGACGGACACACACCCACGACACGGAATCAATCTTGTCTGGCGTACTTTGCAGTGCGCTGGTCACATGATTTATTGTCATATTGGCTGGGTGCCCCGCAGCATTGCGGCAGTGCCCACTAGAGGACTCCTAAAACGTCAGGCTTGCAAGGTAGCCCAGTGGTCTACTGTGACAGATTTCCAGTCGCCTGTGTGAACCCCTTCGAACGCCACAACGTACTCTAATGACAGCGGTGTGCCGAATCAGCAAGCTGAACCACTCACAGAAGCAGGCGATCCCTGTGGTCCGCTGCCAGCGCCTGCACTGCTCCCTTGGCGTCTGCCAGAGACCTGCGCCGCCCACAAGAGAGGGGCCCCGCGTTTCATCGTCCAGCCTTTGGTCGAGCTGTCTTGCGGCGCCGAGCACTGGCCTGACGATGACGGCGAAAGGGGACAAAGAGGGTCAGGCATGGGCCAACAGCGACGGGACGGGGAGGAAGGCGTCTGTCTGGGGTGTGACAGGCACGGCGGGAGAAGTCCTGTCCCTGATGGGAACCCTGTTCCTGCTCACCATGTGCCCCGCCTTCATTATGTTCATGTGAGCTAATGCTGGCGTACGAAAGCGCGTGTCCTCCGCCCTTGCGTGCGCACCAAAAAACTTGTCGCTGGAACCTGAAACGGCCGATCGCTTGAGGTGACAGCAGGACTGAATTGCTTTTTACCTGTTGAAACGATACCTGCCCGTAGATCAGCCCAATTGGGGGCTGCAATGACCGTCGCAGTCTACAGTGATCTGAGCAGCTCGCCGGCGATGGGGCTCCGCGGAAAGGCACCGATGATCAGAATCCGTCTGCGACTGCGAATTTCCTTTCCGATGCAGGTGGACCATCCACTCGAAGTTTGGCGGCTCGTTGCAGCATTTCGCCAGCTTTGCCATGCAGGATGGTTGGCAGGGCGTCATCGGGCTTCTTCCCTCGCCTACCCGGGCTGCATGGATTTACTTCGCAGTTTTCGGCATCTTTGAGGCCGCCCTTCAGCTGTTGCTTCCCGGAAAGACCACCTATGGCCCTGTGACGCCAAAAGGGAATGTCCCAGTGTACAAAGTATGGTGACAGTCTCAGTGTTCACTTCCTGCGGTTTCCTTGTTGTCTCAGCTCGTTCTCAGCTCATTATATCTAGTTGCCTGCTCTCTAGCTCCCTTGCAACACTGTAACGGACTGAATTTTTTACTGAGAAGGAAATTTTCAATTCATGTTCACCCCAAGTGACCGTTCTGACTATTTGGTGCGTCAAATGCTTGTGCAGGCCAACGGTGTGGCAGCTTATGTCACTACACTGATGATGCTTGCATTGTTATGGAGGTAATACTTTGCTTCTCCTGCACAAAGTTGTGTAGATGTGGAACCGAAGGTTGGTATGAATATTCAGTCTGCAGTTTCCACTTGACCAACAGTTTGCAACCTTGTGATGCAAATCACAAAAATATCCACGTAATGTTCGCACTGTAGGGCTGTGGACAAGATCTACGTAGGCTGTTGAAGAGCCCTTGTGCACTGCTGATTTCTCTGATATCCAGCAACTGTGCTTGTGATCAAACGTGGATCCATTGGTGGCTGCAAACCAGCACTGAATCAATAATTATCAGTGCATGTGTGGTGTGATTGTTACTCATGGGAACCTGAACATCTGCTTTTCCTATGCAGGCTTGATTTGTTCAACCCTGCCCAAGTATATGACAAGTTTGGAGAGATACTAATGGTTACAAACATCTTTGCACTTGGGCTGTGCGTCTTTTTGAACGTGAAGGTATGGCCAGGATGCCTGCCATAACGGTGACTGGTTCATTAACATATTACTTTGCATGATGCTTACATGTTATATGCCCCTTGTGCCCTATTCCATGAGAGCTGTTGCAACACCACTTGCTTTACAGTTCACAAGTTCCTTTATCAGCAGTGCATGTTGGATGTGCGCATTCGTCATCGTCACCTTCCAGGTGCCTGGGCTTGATTTGTCAATGCTGAGATACACACTGGAACGGACTGCACAGATGCAATGTCACGAGTGGCTCTCAAAGGGCCGCAAAAGTGGAACAGGGTCTGTTATGTTTCCTTGGGAAGGGGCTGCTCCAGTGTTGTTTCGGGGTGCATCTCAACACCACCACATTGCTGCTGCGGGCCTTACTGTGTACTTGATTACTCTGCGCTAGTCTCCGGTATGCACAGTATGTACATATGAACAATGTGCATGGAGTGCACAAAGAGCCTTCAGGATTCAGTAGTAGGCAATTGTTGTGTAAAGTGTAACTTGTGTTGGCAAGTGCCAGCCAAATTGTGATGGGGAGCTGTAGTCCATGGCACCCCTATACCCAGTCCCTGCGCTTGTAGAAGTGTTTGCCTGGGGTATCATACTTTGGGTTCTGCACATTGATTGTGCAGGACCCAAAGAAGTCGGATCAGTTGTTTTCAGCTCAGACCCGGCCTAAAGCTTTGACAGGTTGGTTGATTGCATTCCCAACTAGCAGCAGCATGAACTGATACCTGGTAACAGATGCAAGTTGCCCGCCTGTCCCATTCTGTGTTGATCGCTGTTCAAATCTCTGTCATGTGTTGTTGTCATAATGCATTCATATGTTGTGTCAGGGGCTTGTAGCACCCAGCAGCACCGACTCTGGGAGTACTGGGAACATCATTTACAACTTTTGGTGGGGTAAGCAGCAAACCTGGTGTCAATCTTTTCTCCAGGATCACCACAGCTAATATTTGTGCTTCCTCTGTCCCACGCCAAATGTCCCCTATGACTTTACAACGCCGTTTTTACTCTACAGCAGATAGTGACCAACATTCTTTGGTATTCGTAGTTTTGAGTATAGTGGATGGTGTCCAAAAATGAAACCACAATTCAAAATAACGAAAACTGATAGCGCTTCGACTCCACACAACTCCAGTCAAAAGAGAGCCGGGTTTCATGGGCTTTCCAAAGCAACCCCAAATCATAATGGTGAAGGGGTCTCTTCCAATGTACATTCAGGCAACACGGCAGGGGCTGTGCTTTGAGAACTCGCAATACCGAGGTCGTGGCATTCATCCTAATGAGGCAGGAGTCTGCAGAACAGGCTCCAAAATGGTTCATCAGCCATCGTCGTCTGATCGTCGATTTTGTGCCCAAAAAGCGCCTTTGGCTGATGGAGAACGGAGCTTGGGGCATCTTGTTTCGGTTATGAGGTGTGTATAATGTAATGTATAATGTATGAGGTGTGTGTAATGTAATGTAATGTGTGTATTCACAGGGTCCTCCATTTCCTGTGGGCATGTCAAACTCGCTCTCTGTTTCACCAAATCTGGTTGTGCCTGTGACCTTGTCTGCACGACGTTGACTGGCTGCAGGCACAGAACTTTACCCAAGGATTGGCAAGCATTTCGACATCAAGGTGTGGACCAACTGCAGGATGGGTATGGTGAGCTGGGGCGTTATCATCCTGTGCTTTGCGGCCAAGCAGTATGAAGCCCTTGGGTATGTGGCGGATTCCATGGTGGTGTCTGTGCTCATCATGGAGGTCTACATCTTCAAATTCTTCTTGTGAGTGAGCGGGATTGGGGATTTCTCTGGCAGTGGAAGAAAGGGGGTGGAGGCCGTGAAATCAATTGGATTTTCAGAAATGGCAGTGGACTCCTCATGCACCTGCAGTGCGGTGCTGTATCCATTCTCAATCCTCTGAATTCCGCATCGACGCGGAAGTGTGTGGGGCCAGTCCTACAGGTGGAAATCCCTGGTGCGGCTGCCCAGCGCTGGCTGCAAATTCACCAAGCCTTTGAGCTGGTAAAAAGGCAGTTCTTTAGCCAATAGGCTGCCGCGAAAATGCTTATATCTGTGCATGACGCTCACAGTATTTCCCGTTCCCCTGTCAAGGGCACTGTATTGAGAGTTGGCTGCCTGACGTGTTTCTAGAACTACTGCCACTGCTCACAATTGTTTGCCCTTTTGTCTAGATGGGAGTCTTCATACATGAAGACCATGGACATCGCCCATGACAGGGCTGGCTATTACCTTTGCTGGGGCTGCCTGAATTGGGTGCCGGGCGTGTACACATCACCGGCGATGTTCTTAGTTGGCCATCCCGTGGAACTTGGTCTTCCTTTGGCCGCAACGATGGCTGTGGTGGGTTTGGCATTTGTCTACATCAACTATGATGCTGACAGGCAGCGACAGGTTGGTGTTGCTAGTGGAGCGATCGGATCAATGGCGTCGACTGCATGTGAGGGTCGGCTGTTTATTGGCATGCCATTGCATTTGGTGCGACACTGGTTAGAAGCACCATGCGTGTCCACAGTTCTGAGTGTGCCATTTTCAACAAGAACAGCTGTGGAATCTTGAGTGAACAATGGGGCGAATGTGGACAAGGGTGCACAGCGGCACTGTTAAGCAGCATAGCTGTGCGAAGACACTGGTGCAAGCCCTGATGCCAGTCTTTAGCTTGCTGTGCATTTATTGTCACCAGGCTTTCCGGGCAGAGGGAGGCAAGGGCAAGATTTGGGGCAAAACCCCCAAAAAGGTAGAGGCCCAATATGTCACCGCTGACAACGAAATCAAGACTTCACTTCTGCTGGCATCTGGATGGTGAGTTCGATGCGACCAGGCTGTATTCCTCCCTGCACAATTGCTGGCATCGCGTCAGGGACCCATGTCCGCGAGTGGCAGTCTGCCGTGATGGTTGGTGTTGCGGTTGAAGACCACGTCGCCATAATGTATGTGTTCTGACCGCAGTGTGTTTCTTGTGTGAAGGTGGGGACTGGCACGCCACTTTCACTATGTACCAGAGATCATGGCGTCTGTCTTCTGGACGCTGCCAGGACTCTTCAGCCACGTGGGTTGCTTGAAACCAGACGGTGAAACGCTTGTACATCGTGCATGTGGCGTGTGTTCCTCGTTCTGTAGTCCGCCCATCCCGATGCCTTTCATGGCTTCCTGCGAACAATCATTCCGCACCCTGCTCGAATCCGCGGCCTCGTCCAGCCAGTCCTGACCCTGACCCTTCCATAGTCTGCAGAGCGCAAATTTTTCCACAGAGTTTTGATTGCTGGAACTTGCTATCTTCTCACTGTCAGTGTGCATATTGCAGCCTCTGCATTGGTTCTACGTGGTGTACCTGATCCTTCTTCTGCTGGACCGCGGGTTTCGTGACGACCAGAGGTGCCGCAGCAAGTACGGGAAGTACTGGGACCGCTACTGCGAGATTGTGAAGTACAGAATAATTCCAGGCATCTATTAGGTTGCATGGCTTGCACCAGCGGCGGCGGTACAAAGGGGCCCAAACAGAATGAGCAGAAATCCTGATAGTCGTTGAATAGTTGACACATCAGATATTGACAATTTAACTTGCTGGTGGTGTTGTAAGTCTTCGACAGAAGACTGCTGTCAGCGAAGCACTTCTCCAGTTGGTTGCAGCGGCGCTCTGCGCCCCGCACTGGGCTCACTGAGCTCCTCCCTTGTGGTGCAGTGTCCTCACCCCCTTCTTTTTCTCGACTGGAACTTAATCTGATTATCCTCATGGACGCTGGGTTGTGAAGAGACGCCGGTTGCAGGTGTGTCCTCCGTGGCCTATCCGGTCACTGGACGTTGTCTGGCTGCCTGGCCTTCCCACACAACGACACGTTATCCTCATGAGCCCCAAGAGAAGTCCTGTCTCTCCTTAAGCTTGGCTTCAATCATCTCCTTCGCCTCCTTCCGCCCCTCGCTCATGACGCCCCCTGGCAAGTCCATTGTCTCCAGCTGCTCCACCCAGTGCGCGAATTTCACTTCCAGATAACTCTTGTACACGTCGTAGTCCTCTTTGAGCCTGGACTGCGCAAACCAGTAGTGCAGGCTCACGTTCGATCCCTCGCAGCCCTGAACTGCGTGCCACCAGCAGATGGGCAGGTACAACATATCTCCTTGGCGAAGCGTCACCCGAAGGCACCTTGCGTTTTGGACAAGTTCGAAGCCCTCAGCATCGGTTTGGTCGGACAAGAGCCTGTGCGACGGCACCAAGCTGTAGTGCGTCCCAACGTTTGTGGTGCTGGGGTACAAGTTTGCAGAGTCGGAAGGGTGGAAGAGCAGAAACGTCTTTGAGCCCTGGACCTGGAACAACAGCGTGGCGTCAGCAGGCCATGGCGACAACGTTGCAGCTGCATGCGCTGTGCTTACTTGTGAATCGAAGGGCCTCCTTGTGAGTGGTAGGCCGCTATGGTCGCACTCAAAGACGACGCATGCAGGGACACTGGATGTTCTGCACTTTCCAATGGTGGCATTCAAAACACGACAGGCAGCTGGGTGGACGCTTGCATGTGACCTCCACACCCCTACAAGCCTATCAGCCGGAAAGACAACACAGGTAGATGTGTGGGTTGGCTTGTGGCTCGTGAGGCGCGCTGTGGGGCCAGAGGTTGTGACATGAAACAAGGGGCCATTGTTTGCTTTACGCGCCAAGTGGCTTAATCACAAACATTCCTCAATGGCATGGTTCGCCACAAGATTGGACATTCTTCAGGCAAGGAGGCTAGCCACCACAGAAGTGCCCGAAATCCCCGATGTGCAACCACCCACCATGAAGATGAGATTCTCCAGGGGATCATAGTGCAGCGGTGTGGACTGCTTCCCAGATCCGAAGTAAGCAATAATGCCACCCTTGTATGGCACCCCAAAGGCTTCCCGCCATGGCAACTCGTAAAAGTTTGGCATGTCGGGAACCAGCTCTGGCAGGTCCTCCTGCACCTGCAACCTGCACAGAACACAACGAAACAGACCATGAACCACTTCCCTGTGGCATGCTTGTGGCGGAGCAGGTCACTTCAGTTCCACAAACTCCGTTGCCTTTCACAACTTGTCTTGATATGTGGCTCAGGCCACGCAACCTAAACCCTATTGTCACCGCACTGGTCACTGGCATCATGACCATAAGGTTATTTCACCAACAGCGACCGAATTGCGCCTTGTGGCAACTCGACCTGTGTGGTGCTGCCATGGTTGCTGTGCCCTGCGCTGCCCAACGTGTTTTATAGGCATCACTGGATCCAAGTCAAGACTACCCCCTGCGTATGCCAGGGCGAAACTCGTTCCTGCCACAGCGTGAGAACTCCCAAGCCATTTGCGTCATACCCTTGCATGCCATGCCTTGACCCTGCCATGAGAACAGCTTGAAAGTGGGGCGGCAATTGCCAAATGGCAAAATGCATACCTTGCACCATAGTATGCTGGTGACGATGCGTCAAGTGACTCCAGGAAGTCGCCAAAGTTCACTTCTTCAAAGTCGTAGAGATGGATGCATCCTTCTCCAAGGCGCCCTACATCACCTGAGGATGGCACACACATCGTAGGATTGACATACCAGCATCGACATACATATCTGAGCATGAGTCCGTGACAAAATGGGCAAGTTCATCATTTCATGGGCATTGGCGTTTCAGTTTACAGCCTCTGAAGTATGCCAGAGTTGGCGCACCCATTCACCTCGTGTACTGTACAAGTCAAAACATAGAATTCTCATCAGACATCATGTTTCCCCCAAGTTAATCCAAAAAGCTTCAAAACCTAATCATAGGCACTCACTGGCATCAGTGTTCAGATGTGTGGAGATGTACTGGACACAGGCAACACATCTGAGCGCCCCTCGTCACAAGGCAATGCCATATGCTTTCTGCTCTGCAGCACAAAAAGTGCTGCCAACAATGGGAGTATACAATTGCTGCTGTGCATTCAACAACAGCATGCAAGTCACAAATTCCAGCACTGCACACAGGGATGGCATCACTATTGGTACATTGATTTTATGGCGACTCAAGTCTTACTGCAAATGATAATTCCGGTGATGTGCTCCATTCAGGATCTTTTAAGTGGGCCATCATGCCACAACAAAGCAACACCGATGTGGATGAGAAAGAGAATGAAGAATGCCATTGGCTGAGCCAAAATCCACAAGCGAATTGGCAGACAATGCATATGGTGTCACACTGCACACACCTAGTGTGTGCCTAAGGAACAGAACTCCCAATTGCGGCAAAACAATTGCAAACAAGTTGTATCCTGCACGCGGCATGTAACAGTCTTCTTGTCAGACTGTGACAGCGATGAACTCACTACCCTTCTCATTGTGGCAGGATAACAGTCCAGCCTTCATGGTGCAATTTTCAGAACACCGAGTGACTCTCGGACACCGATCATCACAAGTCCACAAGTGCATTTGACTCTGTGCCCACCCCGATCGGGTGCTGTACGCACCAAACATCCCATCCTGCTGGGGCTTTGCACGCACCCTGATGTTGGCATGGCCAACATGCTCCTTGAGATATCGGCTGCTCCACTTCTCAACACAAGGCCATCCACCATCAGGCCTAGCAGCATCACGCACGATGAGAGGCAAATTCTTCAGCTGTTGCACCAATCAAAGTTCAGCCACAATGCTCCACAATGCAACTCAGCCCCAAACTGAACAGTGAAAGCCCTGCACTTGGGTTCGAAGTGAGCTGGGGTACTGCTTGCACACATCTGCCAACATGGAGTATTCTACACATGGGAAACACAAGGGACAACTGATTTGTTGGTCCCAAGAAGAGATGGCCATGGTTGCTTAAGCAAGTGTCCATATAGGAATTAGAGCTACAATGTCCACATTGGGATACCCCAGACAGTGGTCTGCTTGTCCTGATGAACATAGCAAGGACTGGAGAACGCCTAACATTTCGCAATAGTGCAGGTGTGACTGCATAGCTGCCAAGGACCACATATGCAGAGGTGCATGAATGTTCAGGCCACCTGATCGAGAGGTGAAGCGTTTATCATCCAGTTTGTTACAGAGCTGATGCACAGGACTTAACAAGGTTTGCCCTGGGGAGCAGAAACAGTGCAACTGAAATTTGATGGGAACAGGCGCCACTGAAGAGGTTGGCTAGAATATTGAACACATACAAGACAAGAAAAGGGTGTTGCACAAGGCAGCTTGTGGACAGATGGACTCATGCAAGCTGAAACCAACAAGCAACATGAATGCCCCAACTTCCTAGAGATTTTCTTTGACTTGTGCATATAATACTAGTAAAAGTATGACATCTGCTGCCATATCTTGTGGGCAAGTGAGGATGAGCAAGATCAAAACTGGCAAAAGGTGTTCATGGACATGCTTGAGAACAAGAAGACATCTCTTGCATTCCTTCCCCTTACCACATAATCCTCCGTAAATCGCTCCATGGATAGCTCCGTTCCCGACACCTCAGCAACCTGTAGTAGCGGCGTTCACTGGTTTGCCAGATGGCGACCATATGTGCCACAGCCAACAGTGGATCATCAAGGCGTCGCGAGGTACAAAAACTACAACGCTTTCGCCAGCAACAAGCAACGAACAGCAACGTCCACTTTCCCCCCATGTTCCCCGGCCCCCCCCCTTCCCCGCACATACACACGCACACACTTTTGTGGATAACAGGAATACGCCAGAAAGATCCCCCTCGTCCCCCCCCCCCTCCCCTTCCATCCACACCTCTTCCAGCGCTTCAGTGAGCGGGTGCCTGTAGCATTGGGCAAGTCCAGCCTGCCCGTAACACTGGTCCACCGCGCGGGAGGTCCCCGCGTCCATTCGGGTCACAGTTTCAACGGTACCGCGAGTGCAAGACAGTGCGCTGGGGGCAGGCGAGCGGCTATGGCGCCAAGTTTTCCCGACGGCAGGAACCCGAACATATGTCCGAAAATAACCGGGCAATTGTTCTGATCATAAAGTACTGCACTAGGGCCCTTGCAAAGTTGCCTCTGGCTACTTTGGGGCTGGGATCCTGCCATACTACAGAGGATCATTTGCCGGGTACGCTATTTAAGGAGAACGAGAACGAGTACAGCTGCTTGGGACGTGAATTAAGTCTTGCTTAAGGTAACTAAGGGCCGTTCGTGGTGAAAGTCGACAAGAGACGGGAGCTAAGGGAGACGGAGAAGTCCCGGGGGATATTTTGGAAGTGTGTAGCTTGCTCATTTGTTCCTTTATTTGTCCGTGTGGTGAATCCACAGGAGTCGTGTGGCCATGGAAACAGTCGCAGCAGCTTCTTTTGGGTGTATGAGTTTTCTTGACCGATTGCAATGACACGATATCCAAGCAAATGATGAATTGACAAAATTGATGGATCCACGGATTTCGGGATTGCTTGAAGGCCAAGCTGAGCCATGGAAGGGTGTGGCATAGGCTACATTGAAATATTGCCCCCATTGCCAAATTCGCACACGACATTGGTGACCAGGTCCATAGATGCTTTGGAGATTGTAGATTTTGTGTTGCACTCATCGGTGAATGCAAGTTTAACGACCTCAAAACTCTGGCACACTAGATCTGTGGGGTTTTTGGGTTTATGTAGAGGTGGCGGTGACGCTCCTTGAATTGTGTAACGATGCTCATGGAGCTTCGCAGCGCGCAAGACCGCCAAATCCAATGCCAGTGTGAAACGCCGACAATGTGCCGCTCTGTGTCAGTGTCCCATTCTTGTTTGCCATAACGCCGTCTCCACCAAACGCTTCATCGGATTTGGCCATTCGTGAGACTGAACTGCAGTTTTCTCCTAGTCTGGCATTTGGACAGCTAGGGCAAAAACTCCAAGGACTGCTTTATCCAACTTTGCCTGGAATGCTACAGGCACTCCTAAACACACTGGAAGCAATGAAACATTTCACAATACACCCCATTCTCATGGAACAACATGAATCCAGTCAGCGTCTGCTACAGATAATGTCCAGTGAGCCCGGGTTGGACTGATATTTCAGCTTAGTGGGCTGTAGGTACAGGTTCTACAAACTGTTTCCAGAAGGGTATTCTAGAAATGCCATGGACAGCAGCAAGCGTGTCATTCGAGTTGTGTAAGAATGGGAAGCATTATCTTGGGAAACCATGGAAAGCTTGAATACTCAAATGAAATTAAGTACCATACTCTATAAGAAACAAGTGCAGTTCGTGGATCCGGAGCTCTGCACTTTAGTTTATAATGCGCATAAGGGACGACGCTTCTTTGAATTGTGCACGCTAAGGGGGGAAAGTTTCCAGGCCGTGGATTAAGATATTGCATAATTGCGCTACATCAAAATAAGCGGGATGATGAACGAAAAAGCCAGTGAACAGCGGCAGACAGCTCACAAATTGTTCTGCTAACTCCTCACGTTTTCAACCTTCGAGGAAGTCCTCCAAATAGATCAATTCGCAAACTTTCAGCTGCTCCCATCGCCTGTCATGGCCGTTGACATCCCATTCTTCAATTCACCACATTCGCAAGATACATATTGTTTCTTTTCTTGAAGTTGTATTGCACTGTTAGGTAATGTGTCCCTAAGTGCTTGCCCTGGGGATGCTCAGGATAGCCCAACCCGTGCCAGTGACATGTCAGCGCCAGTGACATTCTTTGCAGAATGGCGTACTTCCACGTCGGCAGAAACGATGCATCCACATATTTCAACAGAAGCCAGCTGGGCTGATTGGGCGAGAAGTGGTTTGGAAGTGAGGAATCACGTTCTGCGTCGCCATGCTGGAACTTGCTTCGATCGATTTGACTTGAGGCGAGCAACAGGAAATGAGAATCAGTGCGCTAGGCTGACAGCCATTCAGCTGTGCATTCACATGCAAACTGGATATCCCACACAGCGAAGTTTAAAGTTGAGACTGGCGATCTCGGCGCAGGGTGACTAGCGCCGCAGCTAAGCCCGTGCACATGTCTGCTAACGCTAACCCTCAAACCTGCATGCCTTAGCCCGCCTTGGTCCAAAACTGCGTTTTCATCCAACCGTCATCACGCTGGACGGGTGTCGGCACAAGAGCTGCTTTGGACAGTAGTGGCGACGGGAGTGACTGCGTAGCTCGATCAACACGCACTCGAGCCACTGGCCCCTGCTAGTGACAATTCTTGTATTTGCGTGTGTCCTGAACTCGGTTGGCGCACGTCCATAGACCGTGAATGGGAATATTCGCACGCCGCCGCAGACTTCCCGTGCTCAGAAACCCACAGTTCTGCTCTTGTGACTCATGGGGTGGCTGACAGAAGTCATGCGTACCAGCACAAGCGTCTGGCGAGCAGACGGGCTTCCCAGAGTTGCGGGCACCAAAGCCGTGTATTTTCCACAACCCCACAAAGTTGCGCAAAGCAACGCATTGGGCCAGGTTTCGCGCCCACAAGGTGTGCGGGACTGGCGAAGCTGCTGCGATGATGACAGCCACGTCGCGCAGGCCACCATGAGCGCAAGCAAACACAGCCACAGCATACTCTCGGTCGATGGATCAGGCTTGATATTTATTGCATGCCCTGTGAGCAACTGTTCCCTTGTTGCAATCGGCATTATAAAGAATACAGTAATTCTCTTGTCATCGGGTTGGACACCTCATGCCTTCTTGCGGCTGTAGACGACATACCTGCGGTCCAGGCAAATCAGATTAAGCAATTCGACAATGTCGTCCCGGCACAGCCACCCAGCGTGGCCATTCTTCTGCTCGAGTAAGCAATGAAAATTGATGTGACGGGTCGCGAACACCAAACAGCAACTTCAGGCGCAGTTCACCGTCTTAAGAAAATGGATTTCACAGGTGCTCAAGTAAGCGTCCACACGGCTGCATTCAGGCATCCGACAATTTTCACAAGGGCAATAAACGGAAGGCGCGCGGTTGAGCTCACATGGGATCTCCTATTCCAAACCACCCTTTCTTTGGAGATATGTCTTTGCACACCGGGGCCTCGAATCCGCCATGGGCAGAGTAGTGAAAATAGGAGCCAGTGATCCAGATGTGCTCGCTGTCGCCACTTGACACCCACGCTGCTATTGCTGTGTGAGCATGAACACAAGATTCAGCACAATCACACAAATGATCGTTGTTGAATACGTACGAAGCAGCCAAGTGAAACGGTAGCCACAGGGTAGACGTTGAGGGAGGTTGAGAGTGTCGTTATAGGTTGTGAGACGACCTGGCAGGGGAAAAGCGTTGGGGTGCCACTCACAGTGTGAAACAAACCTTTTGTTGGGAAGTATCGGTTGGAGAAACTCATTATTGCCAAGCCTCCTGGTTTGAGCACCCTGTGAATCTCGTCAAATACCTGCAAAGCAGTTGCAAGCAAGGTACCCTAGTGAATCACACTGCGTCAGGCGCAAGGAGCCAAGCTTGCACTCTTGCAAGGAAACAGTCCACGAATTTCGGCCAAGAGATTAGGATTTTGAAGCAGCTTTAACTGCTCCATTCCATGCTCGCTTCCCATTTCAGGGCTACAACATCCATGAAATGAGGCAGCATACTCCCTGATTCTGATGTCGCAAAACAGGGCTTATCTGTAACGAGAATGCGACATAAACTATTGAGATCTAAACAAAAGAAAGTGCGGTTCCCTTTCTTGCGTGTGCAGACTGGAAAGATACTGTGAAGCCCCATGGAAGCTATTTTGGTGACAAGATCAGTGCCAGCTGTAGCCATTGCAAGCCTACCTCCAGTGGCCTTGTCAGGTAGTCCACACTGACTGCATTAGTCACTACATCATATGTATTGTCATCGTATGGAAAGACTGGATTCATGTTCAAGTCCCGAACGATCCAGTCTGTGAGAACTGGGTTTCTTTTGAGTTCCACTTCATTCATGCCCATCCCACTGATCTTGCCAGCTTCATATCTTTTGGGGTAGTGACTGATCCAGCTGGAGCAGATGTCCAGGATGGCAGTGTCCTTCTGTCCTGAAGGTGGAAAGACAGAAGCATAATACCTGGGGAAGAAACTTGCTGCAATGAGCTCCACCAGCATACCAACTGACAATTTTGAGAGTTGGAGCTCAGTCCAGAGCTGTGGAACATAGGAAACTAACCACAAACATGTACTGCAGTGCAGATGGAGTGCAATGAAGATGGTTGTGTACTATGCCTGTCAAAGGAAGTGTTGTGGTCGTGCTATGACCTACCTTGTAAGAGCTCTGATGGCATTGTCATCGATGTGCTTCACTATGCGTGGCTGGTTGTAAAACCATCGATCAGCATTTTCATCAAAGCGTGCAAAATCGCTTGCCTTGAGTGGAAACTCCTCTGGCCAATTCGGGTTGGCCAGCACCTGCGCACAATCCGGTATTGATGATCCTGATCTGTTGCAGCTTTACCGAGAAGATAATCATTTTGCAAGTGCGCAATCCAATAAATGTGGGAAATAATTCCAGAACACGCTGCATGTGTGCCATTCCCATCTACTCAGCACTGGTCAATTCCATTATCTAGCGATAGAACTACGAACGCAAATTACACTGCATGGAACGTCAGGGAACGTATTGAACGGACCTCCCCGGAAACGTTTCGAGTTCCGTACATATCTTGCGGCACTTTTATATCACTTTCATGTCTTGTGGCACCAAACAACCATGCCCCTTTGCAAGCCAAGCCGACACGCCCCAATTCCAACAGTTCATTGGAACCACTCCAATTGCTCGCAGCGAGTGTCCTCATCGACGCTGAGCCCACCCAACTGAACAAGACAATCACCTTTTCCATCGGCGACAACGAGGCCGCTAAGGCCGTCCGCCTGCGTGCCTGAGCTCCCCATCCTCCAACAAAAGATGCCGTCCGGGTGGCATCACAGTTCGACCGATCGCGTGCGCCGGAATCGATAGGGCATCGCGGTGCCCCGCGGCGCGAACGCCGCCCTTCTGAGCTCGAGGCCTCGGCGCGCATGGGCGCGCCGGTGACGACGGGCCCGCGCGAAGGTGGCGTGCACGTCCAGCTGGCGCCGCACGTCGTTGTCCTTGCCATTGCAAAGTGGCGCGATGCTGGACCGACGAGCCGGGGCGCTGCGTATAAGTCGCGGGGCCCAGGCGCCACGGGGTTTCATGTGCCGGGCGTTCGCCACTTATCCAAGGCTGAGCCGCGCGGAGGCATGTATTGCGTTGACGGATACCAGGCGTACTCCCTGACCATCCAGCCAGAACGATGGGGCTTCACGGGATGGTTTAAACGAGACCGCCCGTTGCCATCCGCTGTCGCCTTGGTAATGGCAATGGCAAGACATATGCTGATGATGCAACTCGTCGGTTCTCGCCTGCCCGCCGCTGGCGATGTTTGGGCTTCCGCGTGAGCATTGCTGGAGTGATGCCGGGCGACCTCACACAGATTTTGGCGCCCTGCACGTTGTCGCTGTGTCCCGTCGGGTGTGATAGCAGTGCTTTGGCTGCTTTGAGCAGCCACATCATTGCGATCACTGACAGTGGACGGCGCCCGTCGGAGACGTGCACCGTACAGCCCGCATCGACATCGATCCCGCAGCCTTGGGATGTACCTGATGCGGGCGTGATCCATTCCCAACTGGTCAGTGACTGCCACATGATGTACAAGGCCATGCCATGTTAGCAGACACCTGTGTCTGTGGACCTGCCGGAAACGTCGCGACTTGCAAGCCAAAAGTTGGTGTGCCATGCTTATACTAGTAGATGACTTTGCAGCATCCAGATATACTAGTAGATGACTTTGCAGCATCCTTGTGAGCTGCATCCCTCGTTGCGTTTCTCTCTGACAATCCTCCAACTGGTGAGTTCGCTATCTCTTCGGGGTAAAAGCCCTAGGCCTTCGCTTGTAACAGTACGTGCTGCGGCAAACTAACGAAACCGCGTTCTGGTAAGCTACGGGAAGTCGCCGTCGGCGGCCCTTGGCTTCTGTGGAAGCGCGCGGGGCTGTGACTGCAGCGCATCGCGCCAGCTCTGGCAGCATTTGGGTGCTGTATCGCATAGCTCATTGTCGTGGGCTTTTGTTTCTTGTTTCATTCTCCCTTTATCACCACAATTCCATTTAAGTAAGCGAAGGTTGCACTGGCAGTAGACCAGCTCCTCATTCTTACCGACTTCAACAAGGATGCGCGGCCATGCTCCTCGTGTGGCTGCCTGCCAGCCGAAATCCCCCGGGTTCATCCACGCATGCTGCCCATCATTCAACGATTATGTTTATTACAGCACCCCATGCGACATTGACACATCTCCAAAGACTGCAGCAGTCATGCGCGCATCCCGTTTCGTGAGGAAATGATGTGGAGCAACTGATCTCTGGCGAAGGTTGCAAAAGTTTCACATGTACCCCAGGTAGCGAAGGATAACGCCGACAACAATAACTAGAATTGCGATCACAAGGGCCGCCCTTCCCATTAGGAAATCCTTTGCATTCTTCGCAGCCTTCACGCCTTTCTGCAGATACGCAGTGGCCTTCACCATCATCTCCACCTGGTCACAAAAAGAGAGGAACACCAGGCCGTCAATTGCAGTCGCAGCCAGGGTGAGCACTCAACTTGCGCAGCATTTTTGCCCCCTCTCCGCTGGCACAGCATGCTCGCCTCAAACACTTTGGTCCCAGCTCAAAGCATACCGGATTCATAAGCATCATGTGCCCCACGCGCAGTGGGTGCCACTTGTTGCAGAGCGACCTAATTGTGTAGTTCATCCGTTCACCTACCGACCACAGAGGCCAACATGGGCTTTCCTGTCGCAGGTGGCGATGTGCTATGGCACATAGGTATGCACGTGACAATACGACGTTGTCGGGTTTGGCGACAAGCCAAGTCGACATCGCATGACATCGCAGCGACATCGTGACATCGCATTGCAACATCCATGCACTCCAGATACGCCCTGCAGGTGCATGCTCAGTGGTTTGTGGACTCTTGACAGCGTGCTCAAAGATTAATTACACATCTCGCCTGCCTCCGTTGCCCCCGCACTGACCTGGCCCGGTGACATTTGCTTCATTTTCTGAGCCATGTCCTCTGCTTGTTCTCTTGTCTTCGCCATGCCCGAGGACATGCACATATCCGCCAATGCCCCTTCATCCATGCTCTGCATCATTTTTGCCATCGACTTGACAGCTTCTGGGTCGTCTAGCATCGCGCCCATGCTTCCCATCCCTCCCATCATGCCCATTGGCGTCTGGGCATCGGACAACGATGGAACGCCGGCACTGCTCATTTGTGATGCCATGCGCGTCATCTCACTGAGCTGATCTGGAGTCATCTTGGCCATCATCTCAGTGGCCGATCTCATCATTTCTGGTGTGAATTTCATCCCTCCTGGACCTGCAGCCATGCCGCCCTGCAAAAACACATGGGGTGTGTTGGCGCTGACAAAAATACAAACACCACAGCGTCCTACAATACACATTAGAAGGTTGGTTAATCAGGCTATCAAGCTTGCGTGCAGCTGCCTCGAGAATGCCTTGTATACTGCAAAATCTACTCCACACTCAAGAACCATCGCTTGTTGGACACATGTGCTTTGTTGTCACCAGCAAAACTCTTCAAAGTCCTCTTTCTCAAAGCAATCTAAAATAAATACAGAATCATAAAATCAACCCTCATTGCCTTTGCACACATGCCATGTGAACATATACCCACGCCAGATCACCCAGCAAGTGGAACAAAATTGACTCACAATAGGCGCCGGTTGTTCCGCTGACGCGCCGCCCATGGCTTCAGGTGTTTTGGAGCTAGGAGGCGCCCGCTGTGCCCCTTGAAGGACGTCCTGTGAGTGCACAGATGAAGCAGCTCCAGGTTCCTTGAAAAGATTGTACTGAGCAGCGACATTTGCCAATTCTTCTGGCGTCATTTCCGACATCGATTTCGCTGCATTTCTTGCCAATTCCGGGCTCATGTTGTATCCTTCAGGGAATCCGCGTAGTCGTGCCATTTCCTTTAGCTCTTCTTCGCTCATGTTGGACAACTTTTCAAACTGATTCTTTATAAACTCAGGGTTTTCCTGCACCAGACACATTGAGTATCAGAACAATACTTTGAATATGGCATCCCAAGGTCTCGGTTCAATGTGCAGTTTCTGGGTAGCAGACAGTGTGCTTTTGGATACATCTCTGGAGCGCTCGATGCGAGGTTTTGCATGCAAATGTCTCCCCTCTGCAATGCCTCCTTTAGCGGGTACTAGATACTGGCACATTCAATAAGCAGCCATATTGCCTTTCAGGGCATTCCAACGTTGTGGCAAAGCTACATCTTGAAAGGGTGATCGTCAAAAATGCCACTGCCACCGGCCCCGCTGCTGCCTGTGAAACTCGATGGCTGTCCTCTGTGCTTCAGCTCCGATCCCGGTCTCACCTTGCACATTTTGGCCCATTGTTCTAGCTGCTCCGGTTCAAGCATCTGTGTCGGGTCTGGTCCTGCTTCAGGCGTTGGAGTTGTGGATGCTGAGCCTGCTGTTCTGTGAGGCATCGAGCTAGCGACACTCGCCATTTGCTCCATCATGTCTGGTGTCATATGCTCCATTGCAGCATGGGCAGATCGCACCATTTCAGGCGACATATTGAGTCCAGATGCCTTGGACTGAACAGAGCATTGCAGCAAAAAGTAGAGTCAGACATTCACAGCAGTCAATGCACAAACTAGCTGATGTCCAAATAATAATCGACAAGGCCAAAACAACCATGAGAACAACAACAGCCCGGTTGTACCATTGTAAAAATCATGTAACATGAAGGTGAAAATCGTCAACGCTGTCTGCATGGACGTCCTGAAAAGCCAATGAGGAAACGACTTTGCAAGCAACCTGTCACACTGGTGCCACAATCATAAGCATTTGGGGGACAGTGTAGGAGGCGCATTGCCCCCCACCCCCATGCAGCAGCCAGCGCAACCCCTGTGAGGTTCATCTGCTCAGCCACCCCAGTCAGCTGTGCCTGGCATGTGGCGTTCTGCTCACATCGTAACTTTCTATACTGATTTTGAGGAGACAGGTTCAACATGGACCAATGTGACAGACTCCTTTGCCCTGTCGATGGAACTTTGGCCTAATAAATTCCAGGCTGAGTTCTGATGCCCACAGAATGGGTATTGCCAGTGTACAGCACATATTCCAGGCAGCACTGCAACTGGAGAGCATGGGCGGTGCAGCAGTTGCATGGCCGCAAATGGCCATAAAGGAAAGTTTTTGGGTTCAGGGTCAGGTGGTCTTGTTGTGAGCATGCTGGATGCAGGCAAAGGGGGTTCATGTCGGTGTCCTGGATTGTGGACGGTTCGAAACTCCATCTGGTTGATAATGTTTCCCTCCAGTTGGGCATAGACTGAGCCTCAAACTGGACTGGATTTTACTCTGCCAAGACTGGACTGACTTTCGCTCAGCATGGATTGGACTTTGCAACATATCCATTAGTTGTTGGCAGGCCCACCTGCAAGAATCGCAGGTGTCCAAATTGAGTCCAAGTCTGAAGTGCTGAGTTTCACACCCTGCAAAGCCCTGGCCAAGTCCTATACCCTGCCTAATTTTCAAATGGTGCCAATGTTTTGTAACATTGTGGATTTCCGTTGGGCACAAGTGTGACCAACTTCTGACGCCTCCTCAACTTTGAAAATGCTGAACCAAATACTTCACAGCTACTTGTGCCTGTGCAGTGCTCTGCAGATCGAGACAATCGGCTATGAAGGAGCTGAGCCACGCCTGAAAAAGGAGATGCACAATGCAAAAAGCTGCTCACCAGTGCTGCCAGCTGCTCGTCAGGCATATTGGCCATCATCTGAGCTGTTTGTTTCATCAGGTTGGGGTTGCTGCGAAACATGTCAGCAGCCTGCTCCATCTGTGGAACATCTGTGGCCGGTATGCCAGCACCAGTTGGTCCTCTAGGTATGCTGCTCCCACCTTGTGACTGACTGGCAGATGGCTGCAAATGACACAAATGCAGCTGCTCAATAGGTTACAAGCATTCCAGTTGTAACTTCCTCATGTTCAACTACAACTCTTATAAGCATCAAGCGCAGATCCTCAACACTGATAGCCAACTTCCTATCTGAGATGCTAGTGTTTTTTTCCTGGTAGCCCCAATACTGAAGTACCTGATAGGCCGGTGGAGAAGTGTCCAGACCAGTGTGTCCATAAGATGCTTTGCTGGCTCTGTACTTAAACGATCTGTGGGACAGCTGTGACTGTCCTATGAAGAGGCAGGGAATGCTCAGATGGCCAGTACCAAACAGCAGACCCACAGAAATGCGATCTTACACACTGTGTAACAACACTGCATGCAAGCTGACATCCAAAAGCTTAAAAATACAATTTGTCTTGAATACTGTTCTGTGAACACTGCATTTTTTCGCGCTCAACTGAATGTGACTGCCAGATCTGTACAACAGCACACCAAGTGCATAAACTGTGTGCTGGAGACCTGATCCAAGTCCTGGCACACATTCAGTTCCTGCTGCTGCAGCAATTGTAAACAAGGGAAGGAGGAAAAGGACTGGAGCTGTAATACAGCAGCTGTGCACAGGCATGATCGCAGGAGTGGATGTGGAATTAGCAGGAAGTCTGGGGGAAGAGCAGAGGTGCTGGTAGAAGAACGAATGCTGGCATAGCAAGGGAGGGGTGGGGTCCAGGGAACGTTGGTGTGCAGACAGAGCCTGGAGCAGGCTTTGAAGGCATGAGGAAAGAGAAAAAGCCAGACAAGGGTTCTCTTGGGCGGCTGCCAGAATTGAAGTAGAAGATGGGCCAAATGGGACAAAAATTGAAAACAATTTCCAGAGCCAACGCTTGAGCACCTTCCTTGCAAATAGAAATACAGCGCATTTGCAAAAAGGTGATTTAAACATTGGCCAGACATATGAGGGTTGAGACAGGAACAATGCTTCGATTGTGCTGACATTTCTGAATTTGCACAATCCACATAAGTTGGCAACAGTTCTTTCCCGAACCACCCTCTATACTCAGTAACAAACTCTCTGGACAGGCAGCTGCCTGTGCGATTCATACATTGTCTGTACTGCTGAAAACTGCATCTTTATGCACAGCTGCAGAGCACCAGCTTCAACGACTTGGGCACGTGTGACGTCCCTGAGACCCACCTCATCGTCTGTTACCTCCTCGATGATGATTCCAGGCCTTGGGGCATGTGCAGATGAATCTTGTTCCCAGGCAGAGGGTATTTCCTCAACTTCCTCCACATCGCCATCCTCCACACCAGGCGACTTTGCCAATGCCTCCTGCACAGCTTCAAGCTTCTCTCTTATGGACGACTCCTGTGCTGGATCCCCTTTGGACAGCTGCAATGCCTGTTTCAAGTCGGAGGCGGCCAGTGAGAAGCGTTCAAGGCCTCTGTAGGCCTCCCCCCGTCGATACAGCGCCTTCAAATTCTCTGGTTCACCTGCAAGAATTCAGCATGCGTACAATGTGCAACTGCAACAGGAACCATCCAAAGGCAGCTCTTTGTTGCCTTTTGGCACAGGGGTACAAAGGACTGACAGATCCAAATGCAAGAGTACAAAACAAATGCTTAGTTTGCGCGCAAGGGACAATCCTTGTCATGACTTTGGCTTGCACGCTTCTTCATGTGCTCAGGACGAAACACGTGACAGCAGCTCCTTGAGAGCCGTGCAGTGCCCTGGTGCTGTTTGATGCATCAACGCCTATAACATTGCCAATATTCTCCTGTAGTGGTGAGTGCCCAGTCATCCCCATTGGACAACACTTCCGCTTTGGCTAATGTCGCAAGCCCTGTCAACATCGCTGCAGCAACATTTGAACTGTGCCAGCCATTCTTCACAGCTGGCGAATCAGTGAGTCCAAGCAACTCGTTGTGTGCTTAGTGTTGTGCTACTTGGCTCCCAATCTATCTTACCAGCACCAGGGTAATTGCTGACTCAGCAACAACTTGTGTGTACTCACCTCCAAGCACCTCAGAACATTGTTCCACACACTGTGGGAATTGGCTAAGCTTCAGATGGCAGAAGGCGAGATTGAGAGTGCAGGCTTTCCACAACGTTCTTGAATTTTGGTCAGAGCGTGAGGCCATGTTGTTCTTTGCCTTGAGGTACTTTTCAATCGCTTCAGAATACCGCCCTGCACTGTGAAGTTTGTTTCCTTCTGCCTTGAGCTGCAGAGAACCCTACATGCACTACCAAAAAATGCATTAGGGAAAATTGTATGGCTGCTGTTTCGCACAGAGCATTTTGAAAAATGCCAGTGTTTGAATTCTGCACGTTGCAACTTAACACTGACAGCTATCTGCCAATGGTACTCAACCATACCTGTGTTGAGGTCAGCCTTGGTTCATTGGCTGAAGTTATTGCAGACTGCAAAGCTAATCTGCCCAAAGCAAAAGTCCACAACTGCAAAACAAACTGAAACCATGATGGATTGTGGCTGGTTACTGGCATGTTCCACAAGGCGGGTGCACTCTGTGCACGATGCTAGTCTCGAGGGTGTGCACATACAGGGTTCATGAATTCGAAGCAAGCAGCTCAAGACTAAGACAATGGCACATCAGCACTGCCTCTGCCATGAGCTACCTACAAAGCAATGCATCTCGAATCACCTTGTAGATGTACTCTTGCTGAGCCCGAAACTGCGAGGTGGCATCCCCAGCCATGTCAGTCAGTGTCGAGGGGTCCATACCATCCATGCGTGCAGCAACTCTATCCCAGTCCTGCGCCCCCATGTTACCCATCTGTCGCATCGCTTGCTGCATCATTTCTGGAGTCACATTCCCCATCTGCCTTTGCATGTGTGCCATCTGTAATCAATGGAAATGACAGATTTCAAGAACAACCAAGTCATCAGGATGCTGCCAAAAACCCAGTCAAGATGACAAACACTGGGCCAACAATATCTTCCTTTATGCCAGTGATACTGGCACTTGGCACCAACGACACATCCATATTTGCACTGCTTTGATATTGAAAGGATCACTGTTGGTGCCCGTGGCAAGAACATGGCATCTGTCGCCGTCGCTGAATACGTTCTGCACCAAGAACTTGGGCACCTTTTTTGTGCGAATCTGGCATTTGCCACGATCTGAAGTGCCTGAATATCAAATTTCTCCTTGGATTCCCAGGCTGCGCACGTGCTGTGGTGTCACACTTGTGGCAATAGCGTTGGGCAACACAAATCAGCACGATGAGGGGCCGTCCAGTGATGGCAGGAACAGTCCCAGAATGGCCGTGCCTCCTCCAGAAAAATGACTTTGAGAAGCCCTGCTCCAAGCCATCGGGCGGTGTTCCAAATTCGCAACAAGGTGACGGGAATCCCCATCGGGGGCACCGAAGGCGCCGTTTGGACATTGCAACCCACGACCAGCTGCCTTCCAGTTGCTTCACAAGTTTCCAAAACAATTCCACCCTCTCTTCAATCAGTCCATCCTCTTCAATTCGTTCAGCGCCATCACAGTAAGCTGGGCAATCGCCCGGCGTCTGTCCCCACCTGCTCCGGCGTCATCCTCCTCTGCAGCACAGCAAAGGCACGCCCGGCGCGCCGTCAGGGTCACAGCCACATTCCGCAAACCACTGGCGGTGGGGCCGCCATTTGATTTGCTCAACATTCGCTGCGATTAATCGAACAGGCACAGAGGTCTGCCATCGGTGCGGCGGAGGCCTCCTGGGCAGCACAGGGGCGCACCATCTGCTCCATCGCGATTTCCGCTGCCCTGGGATTCATCGCGACCACCGTATTCGCTGGGCGAAAGACCGCGCTGTGACAGCGCCGGAAGCGCAAGCGGCCCTGTGTGCTGCGAGAGCTGGGCGGCTGGCTGCCACGTTCGCGCTCTGGTCCGGATTCTAGTCGCTCCGATCGCACGGTTTGGGGCCGCGTGGGCCTGCTGCTGCACACGGTTGTGCTTTGTGGCGTGTAGTGTGACTGGTGTCCGTATTTTGTTGCGCACGACGTACTATGTTGTGCAGCCCATTAGGGCAAGGGAGGTGGACCGATGAAGGTTGGTGATTGGTTGAGGGTCGATGCCCTCCATTGCTTCGAGGATCACTTGTCACAACGCATGTCCACTTGTGGCCGGTTCCAAAAATTTGATCGTAAAGTTTCCCAAGCCGTCAACACCGGTGGGAGCTGGGACTGGGGTGGGGGTGGGGGCCGTGGGCTGTGCAATACAGATCTCCATATGCAATCTGCATGTGACAACGGCGCACAAGTTATTAATAATTGTTCATGAACATGGAAAACATAGAAAACTGTGCTTCAACTGATTGCCCAAAAATTTCAAGGCCCTGTGAATGGAACATCTTTTCCACCATGACGGCAACTTTTGGTGCTGTGCTTGAAGTGCTGCTGACATCAACATTTGTGGCATTCGTTTTGCCACAGGTACTGCTTAAATCCCAGCACCTGGGAGACAATGGCAGCATGTCGTCGATGCCCCGTCAATGACAAGGATGGCGGCATCCAACAAGTTTTGCGCTGTCCCTATTATTAATAGGTTAAATTCGGCATTGAGTTGTAATTGCCTCTGCTCTCTGCATTCACGTGTTTGGGTAAATTCAGCATCGATTGTACCAACCAAAAGACGAGAGCGTGTCGTCACGTCGTTTTCGAGGGAAGGCCAAGTTGCACCGGGACGAACTGGGGATATTGTCAATGGATTTCAAGATGGATTTGGGAGGTACGGCTGGAACAGCCCCCTTGTAAGTGAGCTTGCACTTCTCTGCGGCGACTTTGAGCTCACGGACGAAAACCACAGAGTGCGAGCAGAATTATCCAGCCACAACCGAACAGCGCGAACTGAGTTTGCCTAGTAATGCAGTTGATACCCCCCAGTGTCTTAGAATTGCCTGGGTCCTCTAGAACACGGCATGCCAGATCTGCAGCTTCCCAGGGCAACGAGGGAGACACGATGGGTAGGTCACACCTCACGAGATCTCTTTGCATTCCGATACACAGAGTCAGTTTTCGAATGCGATTTGGCTGTGATTCACCCTGGCTGCATCCCTGTTGGTCCTCAAAAATAGGGTCTTCAATGGCTCTTAGGCTTCCTTTCTTACATTCTAAACAATTTGTGCGCATACCAGCCTTGCAATTTCGCAGGAGGCGTCAAGACCATCTTGAAGCCAGTTTCTTGCACTGTTGTGGATATGATGTTCCAGAACAAACATCATGCACCCCAGGAAAATCTGGGCTGCAAACTGGCGGTAAGTAATGCTTGCTCTGCCTGGCATGGTGTGCAGCTCGATGGATAGTCACGTGATGGATTTCCATGCCAGCACGCAGCGTCGCGTAACGTGGCAGCATCGCTGTCCTGCGTCCACCGCTGTCCGCCCTTTTGTCCTCCAGGGCAAACAAGCTGGCGTTCAAGGCTACTTAACGCTCGAAAGACAGCTGCAGCTGTTATAGTCACGGCGGGACGTACGACCACTGACCTCCCTGTGGACAGGGACACGCACAGGACACCCGTTTCCAGTTGTTCGTACCCGGTTTGAACCAAATTGTTCCATCCCCACATTCATGTGCATGTGGTGATCTGCGCATTGCGCAACAAAATACGTCAGACCATTATCGCATTTGGAGCTTTGTGCTCATGGATATTTGAAGGGCGGTTTTCGTCCAAGAGCGGGCTGTCTGGGACAGGGTGGCATTGAACTGACAAGGCACACAAAGGTAGCAACCACCTTATCGGCTTAATGTCCAGTTGGTTGAGTGGTTGGCTGATTGGCTGAATGGTAGATGAATGGAGAGCCGGTTTGAGAGTTTGACGATCTTTCGTGCAGTCGAGTGCTAGTGGCACATCGCCAGTTGGGTGTTCAAGACCCTGTGGGGGCACAGTGACCGAATCTGTATGGAGCAGCGACAGAAGCCGGTCTGAAGGCAAAAGGGCCTTCGAGGCACATGGCACCGTGTTACAAAAGAAACTGCTTGCATGATACACAAGAATCAAACTGATAAAACTGATCAAATCGTGTTCGGAGGAAACATTTCCTACATGTAGCCAAGGACCCACCACCACAACGAACCCACCCCCATCCACACCACGAAATTAACGACACTCACCAAGAGCCCAATTCCAAGGAAAACCGATAGGGGAACGTAGCCCTGGCCAAAAAACAGCGGTCCATGTGTCATCCCGTAGTGGGAAATTGCCCCCATCATGTTTGAAAAGTAGCTCAAAACGAGGGATGCCAGCAAAGGGGGGCTGCCCACACTTATCATCACCGCCAGGAAGGATGTGTAGAGAGCTGCCACGTGCGCGATGTTTGATGCAAAAAGATAATGAGCGTAGACATACACGATGACCAACAACAGCAGGCTGGGGTACCAGTGCCAGTTCAGTTCATCGATCGAGGAAGAAATGTTCTTCTGCACCACGTCAATCACACCTGGGTGCCAACAGGAAGCACACAAGTGTGGCTTTGGAAGTGTGCATGACACGGCTCGGAACAAATAAAAGCGGCAACGACAGTTACGAGGCATGAAATGAAACAGAAGAAACCTAATCATCCCATCAACACTCACAATTTCCTCTTTTCCTTTGCATGGCACCGCTCGACACAAACGAAAATGGCAGCAAAGAAACTGAGACAAACAGGCGAGACCTAGGCATCACGTCACGGCCTAAAACTCCTGTTACAGTGCAACGTGCTGTACCAGAGTTCGACACCGCTGCAACCAATCTGCCGTAAGTCGCGCAAGAGAACTACACATGGGTAAGCCACTTCAATGCAATCTGGTCTGCTGCCCATTGGACATTCGACCTGTTCATTCAAAAAACACGACGGCCCTTCGGCGAACGCAACACACACACTGTGCGCTCATGAGCACAATGAAGCCCAAAGCCTTGCAGAACAACTGATGCGTTAACCACACTTCTACATGGCCACAGAGAAGAGCTGATGCGCCGTGGCCAAATTGGCCTGCAGGTGCCCACCTTTCTCCTTGAGTTGGTTGGCCATGGCCATAAGTATGCTGAGCCACGTCATTGTATCCCATGCCATCTTGGTTGCAAGGCAGTCCTCCCACTCAATCACCTCCAGCACCAGTACGATCATCAAGCCAATAGATCCAGCCACGACAGTGCTGACGCCGATCGACGGCCCGGCAAGCCACAGGGCAACAGTGATGAGCATGGCCGCCAGCATTGTCCACTCTCCCCGCTTCATGGGACCCATCGAGCGCAATTTAGCGCTCGCCTGCAGTGAATTGGACACGGACGCAATGCTCAGCTGCAGGTCCTGCAGATAAATCGCGACACAGGCAGCAACAGGGCAAGGTAGCATGTGCTCTGACGGCAGTGACGTATGGCACCCAAATTGCAACAGGTGTGCATTGTCAGAAGCAAGCCGGGCGCCAATGCATGTCTCCATTCTGCAGAAACGGCGGTCCGCATGGGTCGGTGGAGGGGGAACACTGCGGTATTCAAAGCACAACGACGCTGCCGCTGCGGGGAGATTGTCAGGGTACAACACAGCAAGCTGCATCGGGCAGCAACGTGAGCACAGTCTGGCACTGTTGAGCACACAACGAGGCTGAAGCATATCAACTCGTTCATGGCTTTTTAAAGACTCATGACTGGGTCATGGAACAGAGTCGAAATGATGGAATTTCTGGAATTGCAAATAGTGGTGGGGTGAGCAAAGTCGGGACGGAGGTGCGACTGCAACAATGGCGGTTCACATGTCATTGCTATAGCTGCCTGTGTTGACAGATGTCAAGGGCCTGCTTATGCCCTGTGCACTGAGCGAGGTGGGGTCCATTCACAGAAGTTTCGGATAAAACAATCCTGAGATGAGTTTATTTATCCTCCCCACCTTGTGGTTGTGTCCACGCTTCGACGGGCATTTTTTTGGTTGTTGTCACAGTTAGCAAATGTGAAGAAAGGTCTTAACATAACATAACGCAGAACGGCGGACACAACTGCTGACCTGCCACTGTCAACGTGTAAGTCGACACACGGCGGCTCAGGAAAACACGTCATCAATTCATATTTCAAGGGGGATCCACGAAAACGGAGGTGTTATTTCAATTACGGAACAGAAGTCCGGCAGTAGCAAAAGAATCGTAAAGAAAACAAACGGGGGCACAAGTGGCCACCACAATCATGTATCATGAACAAGTCCACAACACAATTTCGAGCACTGGCGTGTCCCCCAATGAAAAGAAAAGCCTCACCAAGGTTTTGGCCTGAGTTGTGTCCCTCATACGCGGTGGATACACAAGCCAGATGACAAGTGGAATGAGGAAAATGTCCACTAATGCGGGAACGATGGCACCTTTGGTCCACAGCAGCCAGCTCAACTCCTACAGAATTGGAAGCACACAATTGGAACCAGGGGCATTGACCAAATTTCATACGATGGGTCATCCGTATGAAAGCAAGAGGATCGCTTGCATGGTTTCTCGTTATCCAGGTCATGGCAACTGAATCACAAGCCAATCCAAACGATGCAACATAGCACTGTCTGTGATTGGTGCCTTTTTTGGCTGGGTGAATGGCAGGCGCGAAACTAAAAGGTGATCAGCGAATGGGCAGCACAGCATTTGCTTAGCGCGGTGAAAACTGCAGTGATGGATAGTAGCGACAGCACTGCCAACATGGCTGAGTGCATTGGCAAAGAGGTACTTGACAAAACCACCGTCTGCAAACTGGTTCTATTTATGTTTCGAGTATTACACCACAGTTAAATCCAGGTGCATGTATTTCTAGCTGTTTAGCAGCGAACTGGACCCACAACAACAATGACAATAAACGTTGTGGGCATCAACAGCCCCTGCCACCTTCCAGCGGTCACAAAAGCAATGGTTTGTGCCTTACAATAAGCACAGCCAAAGCGCCTCAGCCTCCAGGTGCTAAGCGCTGTAACGCCTCGAAGAGCATATAGACCATATGTGCCCCTGCGTGTTTGTTTGCCTTCCCACTGATACACACACTCAAGCTGCATTTCCCTGCCCATTCTAATGCAACATTGTGTGTTTGATTGCCTTCCCACTGATACACACACTCAAGCTGCATTTTCCTGCCCACTCTAACGCAACATTGCTCAATGCTTTGCTGTATTTTGGCAATGCAACAAGGATGACTTGCCCCAGTTTACCTTGCCAGTTTCCTCCTCAGCGAGGGCAGCACTCAGGGGGTTGGGATGGCTTCCAGTGAGGAAAGTCGCACATGTCACGGCAGCAGTCTGAAAGCAAGTAACCATTAGGTAGGCCCCCAGCTGCCGCTCCGTTCCATCACCTGGCTTGCTGCCGCATACCTCTGCCAGGGACCGAATGATGGGCAGCACGATGGCCCCTGACCGGGCAGCGACACTTGGGATGGCAGGTCCAAGAAGAAATTCACTACAGACACAAATATGGAAGTGTAAATCCTTTGATCAAAAGCATCAAGTGTGGGAAATACAGAGCCCATGACGCAAACATATGCAGTACAGCACACATGTACAATGTCAATATCCGTCTACAGTGTGAGGACAAACGAGCGAGGCAATGCATACGTAGTTTGTGAGCTGGCTGTGCAGCACATCTCATTTCCATCTGACAGAAGGTACGGACTCAAAACTGGATAAATGGAAACTGCATGAGCATGACACCAGAAGCCGGATTTGAAGACAAGATTCAAAAAGCCAACAGTACCTGATAACCAAACTGTAGGTGAGGCCCAATGTGGTAGATCCAAAAATGTGCACCACAGCACATGCGATACGTTCTCCAAGCTTTGTCTTGTTTATTCCAGTAGCAAGGAAGATAGCAATGGCTATGATCCAAGGAGCCTGCTGACCTACAATACAAGTCCACAGTGACATTGTGCTCACAGCAACTTTGGGCGTACGACTAAGTGTAATGAGCTGCAGTAATGCCTGAAATCTGATCACTAATATGGTTTCCTTTAAAAAAGCACACAGTGTGTACTGCATTGTCTGAAAATGTTTTGTTGCAAATTCTCTTCCGTCACAGGGCTACATCCTGTGGGTGAAGCTGGTAAACAAAGGGACAACTTTCACACCAAGAGTGAATGCATTTAGCAGGAACTTTGGACTGTTTTCACTGCCTCACTCACTGAATCCATTGAAGGCTTCGCTGAATTTCAGTGTCCCCGTGAGCACAGCCATGGATGCACCAATAATGGCACATGCTCCAGCAGGAAGTGTTTGCAAAAGAATCCCAACTGCACCCACAAACACAGGATTGAGAAACACCAGTCTAATATGGGAAACGATTCCACACAGCACAATTACTGTTGTTGTGCGGCATTACCACATTCTGGGACATTCTGCTGAATGAATTATGTCGTAATTCCGACATGCTTCGCACTTGAGTTTTGCTGTGTTGCCCTCTGGCTAAACAGAGTGGAACGTGCGCCAGGTATTGCACAAGGTGCACAAGGTGCGCCAGGTATTGCAATGGCCCAGTCGTTTGTGCGGCCCTAAAAGCTCAAATTCACAAATGGTCAGGAACAACCGAAGTAGCCTCTGTATGGACGGCCAACAACCGCGACAGACTAACGGACAGCAACCTTGTGTGCCCTGAAATGTCCTACATGCAGACATTTGATCCACCCTTCGTAGACTGCTGAATCAGTAGTCTGTGCAGTTCGATATGCCTTGGCGACCCCATATCCGACCACACCGTGTATTTCCTGGTTTCATTTCCCATAGGGAGCCTCCGAAGTTCCGGTGGGTGTTCTTTTCATGGGACGTGGAGTCCCCGTCATACCCACGTGGCTGGGAGGCAGCACAAAATTTCGGAGGAAAAGGCTGCCATGTGCACAGTGAGCGAGCGCTTCGAACCTTTGAGCGAGGACAGGGGCCACGCGAATGCCGCGCCAGTGGCAATGACTGTTCTTCGGAACGGACAAGGACATTTTCGCCTGCTGCCATTGTCAGTCCGTCTTCACAATGAGCCGACCAGCGACTGAAGCTGTGTGAAACCTCGAGCAGAACGCGGAGGTCTGCCGCGCTGCACACACCGCAAATGAACTCACCAATCGTGCCGATGAAAATAGCCACCAAGCTCCATCCGTCATGATCTATTCCCGCGGGCCGTGGAATCGCATAAATCCCCACCCCCACCGCAATCGGCACCAGCAGCCGCCACCTCTGCTGCAGCGTCCGCTTGGAATGGCGCACACAGAGCTCCCCGCAACTCTGATGCCCCTGATTCTCAGCGACGGGCAACGCGTCGTGGCCAACATTGAAGGATTCGTCATCGAGCCTCCCGCTTTCGCAGTCCGGTGCAGCAAGGTCCCGAGAGCTGACGGCATTGAGGGGGGCACTGGCGTCCATGGCTCGGCTTCAGGGGCCTTGCTGACCTTCGCGCTTGGACAGTTGGCCCGCCTCCGCCGCCGGCGGACCGCGGCGCTCCCCCATATGGACGTGTGCCGTGCAGCGTGCTGAGTACCCGGTTGTGGGCAATGACTTATGCCTCGTAACACGCACGCCCATTACGCGACCCTCATAAGCTTTTGAATGCGTTGCTCAAATGTCAGCGAATCAGAAGGACGAACTACTGGCTGCACCTAATCGGTGACTTTCTGCACTAAATCGGTGACTGCTTGCACCAACTCCCTCCAAAACTTACCTAGCCTAAAGCCTAAATCCTAAAACTAATCCTGCCCTAAACCTAACCCCAACCCTAAAATTGAGGTTAGGACATAGTGTGCACGTGATTTGGTGCAAGCAGTCACCGATTTGGTGCAGGCAGTAATGTTGCTTCCCCAACCAGAGTGCTGCCGTGACATTAATGTCAGGTGTGATATGTTACATGTGCGCTGCGTTTGGGTTGGTGGATGCAGAGACAAGGCTGAGC